ACCGCAGCAGCTATAAGGTGTCTACAGAAGTATAGTACAGCGAGGCTGAGCATGATGGAAATATCGATCACCCCCCTTCAGACTCCCTTGTACTGCATGTACTCGCCCGGCTATCGCTTAGTACGCGCTGTCATCGCTTGCTATGCGCTATCATCCCTTACTATGTGTTTATATTATACCAACCTCGCTACAGTGCTATTTTACTAAGTAGTAGGGCTGACCCAGTTTATCCCTTCCATAACGTACTACATACTCGCACTGTAAGTAGGTATTATATCATTGGGTGAGCCCCGCTATCGCTGCTACTGCTCATTAATATCGTGAAGGTTGGTAATAATAGTATGTGGCCTTAGCGGCACAGCGGGGGTAATATGGTCGCCCCCGTTCCGCTCGCCTCGTCGGCTGCACTACTTGCAGTGTTATTAGTAATTATGTAGTAGGGCGGGCCGGGCGGCCCGCTAGAACGCACGCGGGTGTTCGCTCGGCAGCTCGCTCGGCAGCAAATCGTATTTAGAGGGATTCGTACTTAATGAATAAGCGTGATGATTTTGATACCGACCGACGGACAACGACGCTCTGATTGATTCTTAAGACTAGCCGAGCGCCACCCGCTTCGCGGGCGGTAGTTATGTGGTTAGTTGTAGTAGTAAGGGCTGCCCAGTCAAATGTCGTTAGTTTAGATTGTATGCATGTAAAAAGGTGTTTGTATGTTGGGGGTCTCTTAGTATGGTATCAGCTTCACGTCAGAGTTACTGTAAGTAGATGCACGTTGCAATATAAAGCATTCTCTATCGTGTCGGTCCTGTTGTAAACCCTGTCCACATCGTAGCGGTTATTCAACCCAACCTTCAACGTATCTGCAAAGTACATATCTAAAACAACCCGTGTTTAGTGTGCTCACGTAAGTCTCTATACGTGTTATTATACCAAGTGTATCACTCTGCCATGGTTTCTGTTAGTTGGTTCCAAGCGTATAGCCTGTATAAGCCTAAATAACCGTTCACGCTTCGCTATGCCTCTCCTTAGCATATACTTAGTGCTTCCGTTCTTATAAAAGCACCGTGTACATATACATAGCGGGTAACATCACTTCGGAATTTTCAATGGTCCATACCGGTAAAGTGCGTATTTTATTTTATGAATCGTCCCTATCCGTTTATTAAGCGGCACTTTACTGCATCACGTGCACCACAGTCGCTAAGACATTGAACGTAACAACTTCGCACTTTGTATCTATGAAGTACACGTTGCACTATGCAAGTTCCGCCATACAGGTATATACAACCCATTAAATGGGATGGTTAGTGCGGGAGTGCGCGTCCAAGGTAATCTATCATAGAGCTCCAGCTAATTGACTTTCAGCATCTACTATTCAGATCTCATTATACTACCGACACGTAACATAAACTATCGATGCCTTTTAGCAAGTTGCAGATACTTCGAAGGATGTTTATCACATTGAGAGCCAAGCGCTGCCGCTACGCGGTAGTTGTAATCCGGCAGTTTTATTATAGTAAAAATAAGCTGGGCACGCTGTTAATACTGTATCCACCTTCAGCTTACCTTGCGCAATATGTACTCGCGCTGCTATCATTTACTACGGGCTCCTATCGCTTTCTACGTGCTGTTATCGCTAACTGTACGTGCATGACGCTTACTATGTGCTTCACTATCACTGACTACGTGTTGCTATAACTATCTGTGCGTTGATATGGCTTACAATGTGTTTATATTGAAACAACCTCCCTCCATTATTAATATAGTAAGTAGTGGGGCAGGCCAAGCTGCATGTACACTGGAAACGGTATTGGTCTCACTCATACTATTTTTGGTTAGGATGTTTCACATAGAGACTAAATTACGTGAGAAACATTTATATGAGTTTCAGTATGCCTGGTGTTTTGTTCGGAAGTGGTCTCATCAAGACTATTTCCGAGCTCATACTATTTTTTCACACACACTACATACCGTAGCTATCGCTGCGCGGTTACCCGATTCATATGGTAGCAGGTGCAACACATAGTATTGATCAAAGCGGGGGTGATCTTATCGACCCCGTTCCGCTCGCCTCGTCGGCTCGCTGCACTACTCTCAATGTCAGGTTAGTACTACAGAGGCTGGGGCGGGTCCTGCGGCCCCGCAATATCGTATAAGGGGGTCGCCTTCGCTGCACTAGGTAGCTACTCGTACTTAGTAGGATCCGTACTTAGTGAACAAGCGTGACGATTTTGTGACGGACGGACAGCGCGTCTTTCTGATTGATTCTTTAGATAATGAATACAGAATTCTGTCCGAATAAGGAACGGGTGTATAACTAATAGCCTCACATATTTAATATTATTTTTCAGTCGATGTGGCGATAGGGGGATGTGCAAGGTACTGCAAGGTACTGAGGTGAAAAATCCAGTGCCAATCATCAGCTCTCCACCCTCGTTTGAAAAATGGCGCGCATTTAGCGATCTTACTAGACCTCAAACTACATGTACCGTAGTGGTAGACTCGCACTTTTTCTTTTGCACCTCGCCCCACAAGCCCACCTCCTCCCCCACTCCACCCATGAAGTCCACACCGTCCAAGCGTCTCCGCCTCACTTGGTCTGAGAAAGTGGGCATCCTCGACAAGGCAGCCCGCACACCTGCTCTCTCCTACAGGGGCCTGGCTGAGTGGGCTGTGACGGAGTTCAGCCTCCCGGCCGCCCCAGGCAAGACAACGATATGCCGCATAATCAAGTCAAGTGCAGTCCTGCTGGGGCGGCCGCTGGAGAAGGACCAAGGAATCATTCATTGTATTAAGCGACACATTCTATCCCGCAAGATGATGCAGGCTCTAGACCGGCTTGGTGAAGGGCTAGATAATCCCTACGAGGTCGACCGGTTGACAGCGCTGTTGTGGTGCGAGGATGCCTGGTCAAAGGTTAGTGCTTCGACCATACGCCACTGTTGGAATCATTCTGGACGCGTAGGTAAAGCTGCTCTTCAGCTCATTTTGATATAGCTAAATCAGTACATTGGAAAGTATACTCAACTTAACATCAATTTATATATTCTGCGTCTTTATATATATCAGGCGTTCCTTACTCGGGCAGATTACTGTATTGTTTACAATCACGTATTAATATTTCTAACTTGTACTATTTTTAGCTAGTACTACTTCAGTAATACGTAGGAAACTAATATCTACTAATAAATACATTTTCGATTGAAATAATTATTATTGCTTCAGCTTACTCATTTAGAATCTGTACTTAGAAGTAATGGAGCACTTCCATTATTAATATAATAGTATACTGAATTCGTATATAGTTATTTCAATAAATGCCAAAATAATGAATTATGGTAGTCCTTTATTGTGATGATTATTTTTTACGGCGACTCCAAAACCAAAAGAGATTACGATATTATATTTTCCCGGGGTGACCCGGTTTTACAGAGCTACAGTGACACCTTTATAAATGACACCTAGTTCGCTCGGTCTAATACGCTGTTTCAGTTAAAGAATTGATCAGATAAAGAAATGGCTACACCTCTAATGGCTACATTTTCATATGTTCGGTGCACAGTACAAGGGCTTTCTTTACCTGGTACCCCTCCAGCATTTTTGTACTCTTGTTTTGTTTCGTCTTCACACAGACAGAACTAACGGTAGGCGCGGTATTGTCTGTTCCTACTCCTTCTCATTGGTATTAGCAGAATCGCATCCCCTCAGGTTGTATGTGAGTTTCAATACAGTGAGGTTATGGGAATATTTGTTGTCCCGATATCCTGCCACCATGCCTGCAGTTTTATCTTTTGCTTGGTATCTACTGCATAGCCCCTAGTTGTCTCGACATCATAATATTTTAGTTTTTCGTAAAATATATATGTACGCTGCGCTGATTGTAAAATACTGTGGCTAGCTTATTTATCAGTATTTAGTTACTGCAAACTCTTTGTTCCAACTTAGCATCCCAAATAAAATTTCTCTATTCGCTCGATTTGTTGTGGCGGGAGTAGTGGTAGCAATGGCATACGTGGGAGGAGGCAGGCAAGTGATTGAGAAAAATATATATGAGTTTGGATCTATTACTACGGCGTCCATTTAGAGGGTTGAGGCGCCAATAATGGCGAAATAAAGAGGTTTTTGATCAGTTATAGAACACCTATAGTGAAATTCATATAATCCCGTTTGCAGTCGAGGAATCCTAACCAGATAGGGAACACATAGTCAGTTAGAGGGGTTTATTTAGGGAAGTGCCACTGTAGCACGTGCGGCAGCACGAAGACTGCAGCGTTGCCTTGCGTTTTCAGCTGTAGTTTTGAGCTAGTACCAAGATGGAATCGATGGACACGCGCGCTGCGCACACTAGAGATATTATATCGCAAGAACTCAGCCAGAAGAAGAAGTGACTATGCGTCAAAGTTGACAAAATTTTCACCTAATAGCAAACTAAGTATGTATAACGGTAACATGTTGTCTCTGTACCGGAAGAGGGAGTGGAGGGAGTCGTGCGTTGGCGACAACTATCTTGCCATTGGCAAATTGCCAATACATGTACGAAAGTGATCGGCGATACAAGAATGTATTGTGCCAGCTCGAGACCAAGCAGGCTAATGCTTTCGTGCAGAGTACCAGTGCAACCTGTAGGAATGCGTAAATCGTTGAGGTGTCGACGGTCGGAATCGCGTTGCGCTCGAGTTCAATGCGCGGCGGAGACGTATGGGATGAACGAAGCAACGATAATGGTTCTCATGATGGTGAAAGTTCTCCTGCCCACGAGTTTGGCGAGCAGCGAGATCACGGTCGAGCATATTGCGGCGGTGGTTGGCCAATCCAAGCTTTGGAAAGCGCCATGGGGCCTACCTGGTGTGCGTTTGTACAGGTTAATACAGATTAGTACTAACGAGCACGTGGCAACCTTCGTGTGATTTGACTCACGCCGTGGGCCACGGCCGGTGGCAAGCCCGCCCTGCTCACTGAGCAATTCCCCCTTCAACAGAACGAACACCAGCGTTCCAACCTTCATGTTGGCCTTCAAGTCTTTCGCGGCCATCGTCGCTTGCCTGCTGGCGTCCAGCGTGCAAGCGGAGCTCCCAACCACGAAGCTGTCGCACCCGTCGGGCTCTAACGCCGAGGTTTTCCTCTTCGGAGCTCACGTGAAGTCGTTCCGCGCGGCCGAGGACCCCTCCCGCGATGTCATCTTTCTGTCCAACCACTCGTACTTGGACGGCGTGAACCCCATTATGGGCGGTATCCCTCTCGTGTTCCCCAACTTCGGCAGCGCCAAGGGTCTGCCCGGCCACGGCTTCGCCCGTGTCACCAACTGGACGCTGGCGAGCCACTCGGACGCCACTGACGCGAACAGCCCCAGTGTGGCCAAGTTCACCATGGCGGCCAGCGACGCGACCCGCAAGATGTGGCCCGTCGACTTCAAGCTCGAGTACGAGGTCAAGCTGTACGCCAACCAGCTGGAGACGGCTCTGCGCGTGCGCAACACGTTCACGCAGCCCATCGACTTCCATGCGCTGCTGCACAACTACATCTACGTGGACGACGTGCGCAACGGCAACACGAAGGTGTCGGGTCTGTCGGGTCTCAAGTTCTTTGACAAGGTGGCTCAGGTCAACAAGACCCAGTCGGAGCCCGAGCTCAGCATCTCCGCCGAGACCGACAGCATCTACTACAACGCGCCGTCGCCCCTCGTGGTCTCCTCGGCTGACCGCAAGGTGACGATCAAGAAGGCCGGCTCCATCACCACGGGCAGCAAGGCCACCCGGACCCAGACCGACGCCGTGATCTGGAACCCGTGGGTCGAGCGCTCCAAGCAGTTCAAGGACTTTGGCGCCGAAGAGTACATCAACATGCTCGCCGTCGAGCCCGGCCGCGTCTCGGAGAAGCAGGTTCTGCCCGCCGGCCAGACGTACACGCTCCAGCAGACCATTAGCGTCGCCAAGGCCTAAATGGCTACCTTTTAGACGCCCCAGTAGTGTAGCCAAGATTAAAAAAGATGACTCGATGTTGAAGTTGACACTACAGGCGGATGCCTCCACCCAATCAGGGCCACGCTCCTCATATTTTGACAACCCATTTCAGAACTTCCCAACGAGAGCAACCGCTTCATCATGGCTGCAACCACCGTCGCGCTGCTTCTGCTGCTCTCGCTGCTGCTCGCTTCGACTCCAGCTCAGGGGAGCGAGGTCTACAGTGCGTCGACGACCTCCTTGGCCCCGGATGCAGAGGACAACGGCCCGATCGCCATGTTCCACGCCAAACACGCTCGCATGCTGGTGCACGAGAACGTGTGGGGCATCATGGCTACAACTTCTGTCACCTTCCAGGGCTCAGCGTTCGCCAACGTCGTGTCGTACAGCGGTGAGGGCGCTGTCACCAACGTATCCCCCCTGCATGGAGGTGTTCTGACGTGGAAATTTATCTAGATGGGGTTGGTTTCGCCAAGGAAGACGCCACGGGCACCATGTTCTTCTACCTCTCGGCTGAGGATCTCACAGGTGCCCACAGAGTTATACTACAGTCATTACAGTTCATGTCTATGGCATTAAACTGACAGGAACTGTGTGAAGCGGTGGATTTGAAGGCGAACGCCAACGCGACGATGGCGCTCTCCAAAGCTCAGGGAGGAGCCAAAGCCTGCCTCATGGACCCGGAAGACCCAACGTGCTGGCGGCTCTCCTTGACAGGGAGAGTGGTGCCAGTCGAGCAGAGTCAGCGTAGCTATGCGGAACGCGTGGTATTCTCAAAGTACGAGCATGTGCTTTACGTTGTTTGGTATCTTCAACTCATGACCGCTTGGGATTGTATGTTCGGTGCAGGCATCCGCAGATGAAGCACTGGCCGAAGAACCACGGCTTCGCGCTGTACGTGCTGGAGATCGAGCATCTGGTTTTCCTGGATTTCTATGGTGCCGCGAAGCACATTGCCGTCAGTGACTATTACAAGGTCAAGCTGTAGGGCGAGAGGATAGTCTACACCGCCAGGCAGCAGGATAGGCCTTGCTTCCAGCAGGAGACCTGGCAGCCGGTATTGCAGCGCGAGCCTCAATCGTGGATCGAATTACTGCACAATCAGTTTTAGGATACTCAGACCCAAACAGCGGACCCCTCGCGTAGGCGAGCACACAACTGTCAGACCCCAAATCCATGCCCTACCCGTATCCGGCCCGAAAAATAATCTACCTGCCCGACTACAGCGCTATGTGGCAAGCGCTCAGCAACAGGTCCGTTAGCACTTACGCAGCGCTCGGCCCACGCCGTCTACCTCGCTTCACTAGCATCACCAGGACAAATATGAGTAAGGAGGGGAGGGGAGCAAAGGGGGAGTACTCGAAGTGGGTTTGCTCAAACACTTACGTTGTCGCTGAAGTACTTGGAGCGCATGACGACCATCTCCCTTCGTCCTGGGAGGCGTCAGATGCATCAACGTCGCCCGCGCCGATCCTGCGTGCGCCCAGGTCCGGGGGGAGGGGGCGCATCTACGCCGGGCACAGCCGAAGCTCCATGGTTCGCCACGCGTCGCGCTGAAAGGGAGAGAAAAGATTGTGGCCCACTTGCAGCCACGAAAATTTGGTATACATGAGTACACAGTATACATACCGTACGACGGAAAAGTGCAAATCGGAAAGGCCAGCAAATGAGATAGGGGAAGGTTTGCTCAATCGGGCTAAATTCTCACTCTCAAAATATATTCCAGTGGAACAACGAAGGGTCGCATTGGACTTGAGTATTGGAACAAAGTGTTGTTTCTTATGTGGGCCAGAGAAGTCGTTGAAAATTGTTCAACTCCACAAACATGTAATGCAAATTCACTACACACTAACGAACAGTTTGCAAACGCTAGTGTTAGTTTTACAGTTAGTGTTTGTGCGTCTCGCTCTCGGCGTCGGGCACAGACGAGTTGGTCGTGGCGGCTGCGGGCACGGGCGAGTCGCTCTTGGCACGAGCGTCTGGCTGCGGGCACAGCCGAGTCGCTCTTGGTGTTGGTCACGGGCGTCTCGCTCTCGGCGTCCGGCACGGGCGAATCGGTCTGGGCGTCCGGCACGGGCTTCGGGTGTTGGGCGCGGAAGCAGAATACCTCAGCAGGCTGGACGCTGTACAAATGGGTGCCAGCGAACGGCTAATCTTTTGGCCGTTTCAATGTTCCTGGAGGAAAAAAAAACAGAAGAAAAATCCGCCATAAAATTCGTCTGATCATTCGCCCAAGTGACGCCCTCCTGGGGAGCGGCGCAGCGGCGTCGTTCTCGGGGGCGCTAGTGCGGCTCCGCCGCGGCGCCCTCAGTCTTTCACGGACAAGGATGTGAGGCAAGTGTCTCTGGGCTGAGATCTCGACGCGGGTACGACTCGCGGCGGCGGGAGCGGACGAGCCCAGCGCGCTCAGTGCTCAGCCACCGACTTCCCGTGGGCTGGTGACTACGGCACCGCCCAGGAAGCTGATTCGGCGGCGAGGCGCGAGCGTCCGCGAGGGGGGGGGACGCTGCGGAAGTCAATCGTCAAGGGAAGGTGCTCAAGGGGATCAGCATAAGGCGCAGGAACAACACAAGACTGAAGAACAAGGGCGTGCTGGCTGAGACTGTGTGGTTGGTCGGCCACGATAGCAGTCGCCGGGGAAAGGAGTAGTGACCTGAATACCTAGCTGAACCAAGACTACAAAACCGATGCGGGGGACGGAAGCAACGGACACGCCGCCACCAAGGCTTAGCGCGTCTCCGCGAAGGGGGAGCCATTCAGTGCCGACGTATGCTGATCGTGACGGTGAAGACAGTAGGAGCTCAATTAGTGGCCGCCCACTACTAGGGGTAGAGTGTGTGGACCACGTTTGGAGAGTGTTCATCACTTATTCCCTACGTTCACAACCTGGCTAATAGCTACATTCAAACCCCCTATTAGAATATCCACCGGTAATTTATCCGTAATCTATTCGTCTTTTTATCCAGATTTTCAATGTTTCAGTTCTCTAGCATATCTTGAATAGAGTCATGGAGCTACCAGCCATCATGATACAGTTCGGCCACTGAGCGTTGGGCTTGTCGGCGTCTTCGTAGAAATCGGGGAGACCGAAGCCGTGGCCGATTTCGTGAGCGACAATGACGAGCTCGTCCTGGTCGAGCGTTGACAGCATGTTCTCGAGGTTCACCTCCTGACCCCAGTCACAACCGAACCCACCTTCGAGTCCCTGCTTGGGCCAGAGCGAGATATCAAACGGCTCACCCTTGCACCCGCTGGTGTCGGACCACGAGCCCGCCCCGTTGTCGTAGAAGCGGTAGCACTTCTGATCGCACTGGGGCACACGTCCGAGTCAAGGTCGCCCACGGTAATGGTACCCATCGAGTCGTCCGTCCAGTCTAGCAGAGACGCGTCCTTGACAGCCCAACCGACGACGTTGATCTTGATCTCGTTGTACGGCCAGCAGTCGTAGCCGATGAGCCAGTGGTTCCACGCCGCGTACTGACGCTCCAGCATCTGGACGCTGTGGTCTTAGACAGCTTCTCCGTGCTGTCCCAGCGCACGCAGTAGTTGAGCGTGCCCTTGTTCTTGACGATGTGGTCCATGATCCAGTTCTTGTTGTCCATGAAGTTCCAGTTGGCGTCACGAGTAGGGGCGTTCGGTCCGATGTGGTTGGCCCAGATCCAGTCGACGTCGGCAGCACTTACGTACTTGTTCGGGTTGCCGACAACACACTCGCCAGCCTTTGAGGTAACGGTGCCGAACGTGGCGTGGTCGCCGCTGCTGGTGCTGTTGATGGACGTCTGCGTTTGGGTCGCATTCGAACCCTGCGTAGCCGACTGGGCCGTATTGGAAGACGACGCAGTGTCCGACGAAGAAGAAGAGGGCGACGAGGTTTGCGTCACTTGCGATGAGCCCTGGTTCGCATTTCCGCCAGTTTCGCTGGATGCCGGGGACGTCGTCGTGGGCTGCGACCAGCCCTGAGATCCACTCGCACTGGAGGGGGCGGTGGGGGCCACCGTGGGGACGTCGTTGGAGGTCTGCGTCCACTGGTTCGGCGAATCGCTACTCGAGGCCTGCGTCTCGATGGCGGGGGCTACAGTGGCTGGGGCGTGCGTGTGGCCATGGTGGCCGGCAACCTTGGCGGCGGTCGATGTAGCCGCCAAGGCGGCCGCAATTAGATGTGGAAGACGAGTTGGCGCCATCGTGGGAAGTTTGAGAATGAGTTCGAACTAAAGCGATCGAGAAGCGCGGGTCAACTCAATCTCTTGCCAGCAGTCCCTTGACTCGGACTACTCTCATCTCATCGACGCTCTCGAGGACGATCAACAGAAGACCTGTCCACCACCACGATCCAATTTACAAAAACCGTCACTCTAGAAAAGCTGTTTGTCTGTATATTATGTCGATCGTACCGCATTTCACGTTTGAGTGTGTTCTAAGGATGTTCTGGGATACCAGCAGGGCCCAGTTCGCTGATGAAACGTGAGAGCCTGAATTCTAAGCCGCAAGAAACGTCAAACGCTTCTCGCTTCACACCGTAGCTTGTGCCGGGTCCACGGATGGGGGAAGGTACGTTGTTTGAAACAACTTGTTTCCCCACGACAGACAGGTGGGAACAGGGAGGATGAGTTGTTGCTTGCGTCTCGCGAGCGTGATGTTGCCGAGTCGAATAGCACAACGGTACGGAAGCGTCGGTGTCTTCTGCGTGGCTAATTGATAACCCCCCCCCCCCCCGTGATAATGTTGCCAATATTGCCAATATTTTATAATCAGAGGTTGTACGACCCAGACTACATTCGTTGCTGCTCAATTCCTCTAACCAGTTAAGCAAGACCGCACCCAGTAAACTCACACCCAGAACAAACCAAACCAAACCTCGGCCAGTTTAAACCAAACCAAAATTACCGGCAAACCAGGTTTGAATCGGTTTCATGGTTTGAACACGTTTCATTTTGTAACTCCAAACCAAGCATGCCGTTTTTGCGAACCAGCGCGCTGGTTTGAACCGCGGCTGCACATTCGCAGGCAGTGCGGCTTTCACAGAATGGATCGCGGTTAGAATCACTTCACTGTTATCGTGCTCTTCCGCAAGGCCACGACAACAATTATCGCGATTGAGAAACCGCTTCGATCAGTGCGACCACGGGAACGCCCAAATATAAAGTAGTTGCAAGCAAGCTTACTATTAGCTTGAGCCAGTCTCTGGCTCATGATAATATGGGCATTTTCCCTCAAACTTTCTTTTGCGGTAAAAAAAATATACACAGGCAGACACGACGTCAGAGAGTATATAAATCCAGGTATTCAACAAGTTTACTCGATAAATCAAGGGGGATCTACACGTAAAATTTGCCCGTTTATTAAGATGTCACGGGCTCAAACCTTCGAACGGTCCCCTTATTCCAACTTGGAGCTCCGGAATCCAGGACGACGGAGCGAATGAAGGATTTAGTTAGGTCGTTCGAGCGCTGGACGGGAATATGTGTTTACAGGTACTTAAAGTAGGCAAGATCGCATCACAGCACTAGCCGTGACCAGTGGAAATGGCGAATTTGATGCGAAGTCTCTCAAGAAAGATCAAAAGAGGCTGATATTCGTCTGCGTGAACAACTAAGTTTGTGCGCACACCAACGGCTTGCTTCTGTTTGCACTTTCAAGACGAAGTGGTTCCGTCTCTAAAGCTCCCTTAAGGTCCGCTGATACGTAGGTCGCGTTCACAATTTGGCTACTGCAAGCTCGGGATAGATAGGCTATCTACATAAGTAGTTTCCTTAACATACAGTGCATTATCTTATTGATCAGTAGAAAGTATCCTTGTTACAGGTTAGTGACTTCTCGATAAGCAAAACCCGTTCTGACTACGGAGCTAAGAGAGGCGTAATGAATGGTGACGTCCTAGATTGAGATATCCGAAGCGCTGGGTGGTGCTTGAACAGCTCCCTCGGCGTTTGTTAATAGAGCGCGCCTGCATATAGCAAACACCCGAGGGTGGGCCGCGACAAAACGGTGCAGGCGTGATAAAGCGGGGAATTCGTGCAGACACTCTTGAAGACGCTGGCAGGTAGCATAACTTATTGCTGTTCAGAGCTACGTTGAACTCGATTGTCCATATTGCTCTCGCACTCATCTTCCAGAAGCGTCATCATAGTTTCTAACTGTCTGCGGCATTTTAGTTTAATTTTTACCCGTGAATCAAAAACCTTAGGATACGAGCACATGTACTGCTTTGAGGTGGCTCGAGTAGCATTAAGGAAGGAGGAAGTTATGAATTGGTAGGAGGACGTTATGAATTCTCATTTGTTGGTAAGAAATTTGTTCGTAATTATTGTTTCATAGTACGTTCTGCTGTGTAGGGGTACGGAATTCAATGCTGAGTCACAAGAGCTCGCATAATACTCACAATCAGTTAAGGCGTGTGGCAGTAGATATTTTGCCAGTGACGACGAAATGAACTGGCTAGTTTTTTTGTTGTTGGATGGCCCGCGTTGGTTTCATGAAAGCGGCATGGGTCGTCCTTTTGTGTGGGCTGAGGATCAAAACTAGCAATAGCTGTTTATGATGCTGCCTCCCCTGGCGCTTGGCACGTGCAACAAGAATTTCCAGCTTCAATTTACACGAAAAATTTAGTTCACGGGAGTCACCAAGTTCTCTGCAATGCTGCTCGTGAGAAAAAAAAGAATGGTCAACATGATTTACTGTTGTTAACTTGATGAGTCATCAAGTCATCAATGATGACCACAAGAAGTAAATGGATTTAATAATGAGATCCCTAACAACAGTGCAGCTCCGCCAATTTTGAAATGTTCTGTAAATCTGAAAAAAAAAACTAGACGCGTTGTTTGCATACGCTTGGTCTGTTGAGTATCCAATTGTTGCTTAGCAGCGGTAATTCGCTACTTTAGAACAGTGTTAACAACGCTGAATGCCCGGAAAGTTGGTCGTGTTTTAAAGATAATCTCTGGTCTCCCACGCCGTCTAATATTATGCGGGCTAGTCGTAGCTCACTTCGAGCAACTTCAAAATCTGTGCCAAACTCTTGTGCATCTTAAGGTGCTCATTAATTGTGGCTCGTGCATCAATTCTTAACGACATACTTGGGTATTCTACAGCCCGAGAATTTATTTCAACAAATGCGGACCTTTACGAAAGTGTGCGATATCTTTGTACATGTTAATAAGTACAAGTTTTTTAATAAATATTATTTTTCTATTATTTATTATTTTATAAAATTCTAATATCTTTTACAACTTTAGTTATGTATAGCCTTTTGTAGCCAATGAGCGCCACAGTAACTCCAAACCTGTAACGCTACATAACTCCGAACCCCCGCTCGTGGTTTGAAAGCTGGAAGGATCTGACCACAAACCAGCGAAAGCGGTAATTTTGGTTCGGAAATCTGCGTAGTTTACGAGCAAACCAATTTCTTGCACGTTTCATGGTTTGGTTTGTTCAAGGTGTGAGTAAACTAGAGTATGCGCTTCGTTCGCTTGTTGACTTCGCATCGCTACTACAAATTGCTTTCCTAAATGAGGTGCTAGCTCGGGCGAAATGTAATTACAGCCTCGTTCCGCCCAGACCGTTCGATGTTTATGATGATTCAAGAGGGACACACTTAGTATTCTAGGCCAGCGGCACCCCCATCAAACAAAGGAGAATCCATAGATCGACAAACTGGGGGGAAGCGTGTTGGATGCAACCTTCTGCGACTGAGGCAGGCAATATCAATGAAATAAAGAAGCGAACTGCCAAGAGTGATTTCAGGAAGAAGCCATGAAAACTGTCTAATCCACCACCATTATTCACTATGTACTCATGAAGCATCGCCAAAGGAGTACGCGTTTACCGTACGTAGTTGCATCCACCAAGACGTAATCCTAAACGTAAAATGTACACAACAAGATCTGATCTCGCGTTAATACCTGGAAGTGGAGGGGAGGACATTGGTTGCGTGTGTGGCGCCTTGTGGGTCTTGATTGCAGAATCGACTGTTGCCATCTCTCGGAGCGCTAAAACAAAACCAAATTTGAGTTTCCCTTCAACGTTCTAAATACACTTATCTTCTGAAACTGTCTGAAGTTGCGGATCCCAGTTTGGTGTTCGTAATACATGTAGTCGCCAACCGGTTCTGTACATCTAGGCACTGTACTTCCTATCGTGCATGCAGATCCGTAGTACTTTTCTAGCTGTATTATTACATGAACTCACCTGGTGTTACTATTATAGTATGGAGAGCAATGCAGTAGGTCGTGTGGTTGCCAGAAGGCGCAACAGATTCAACCTCACAGATGCAAGCACATGGGATCGGGGCTTCAATGATACGTCACGGTCAAGATTCCTAACCGACCACACCACCCACGCCCATTCCCATTACAGGAGCCCGCGACTTTTCTATTTAAAGAGGTCAAGAGAAACCTGCATCGTGAAGGTGAATAGTATCTCCACAAATGTATGATTCGTTTTAGCTCTCAAGTTTAGTCCCTTGTTTGCAATTAAATTTTAAAAAGTATCAAGAAAATAATGAACATGTACAGAGCGCAATATCGTATCCGTTTTAAGGCATTCATCCGTTTTGAAACACCCGCACCCTTTGGGTGCTGACGACAAACCGGCGCGGGTAACCACCGTACTTTGGACTCTGCTACCAGTTGTCATTTTGCTTCTCGCTCACAAGTACACACAAGCCAGCCCCCACACCGCAACATGGCGTACGCCGACCCTGACACCGACGAAGACATCGCCGCGACCCAAGTCAGTAACTCACCAGCACGTGACCACCGCCATCAGCCTCAAGACCCCCCTGCTGAACAAAGCCGACCCCAAGTCCCAAATGGGCGCCAAGCTGAAGAGCGACTGCCACATAGTGCCATGAGCGTAGCCTGAGCTCAATTCACCTGGGCGGCTTCCGGTACACGCGGGCGTGGTCATCTCGCCGCAAGATTGCGTACCGTTGCAGCTACTACCGGGGGATGCGGTGCATGGGCAAGGTCGAGTTCTTAGCTGCTACCATGGAGTATGCAAACTTTGTCCGCACAGTTGTCAAGAGGACCACATTGCTGCGACTCCCCCTGTTGACATCGTACAACCTATGCAGACGGCCGTTGATAGTTTGGCTCGCAGTGACGGCCGTTGATAGTTTGGCTCGCAGTGACGGCCGTTGATAGTTTGGCTCGCAGTGATGTTGCGTTGTCAGTCACGGCTATTTGGTCTCGTATCAATGAGCAGGTTTACGGTGGTGGTCAACAGCAGGCATTGGTCGGGCTGTCGCGAGAGCAAGTGCTGAGCCGGGTATACCGCGCCCGCAATCGCCATTTCGGGGGGAACATTCACGGCCGTATCGAGTTGCCACCACTGTCTCGCGTAAACGACCGGCCTCTCAACTTTTTTCAATTTCACCACATCAGTGGCTCCAACGACAGCGATCAGCCCAGCCGAATTATTGGCTGGGCTCACCCAGAGCTCATTTCGCTGCTCCGGTACGCGGGTATATCGCTGTTTGTGGATGGCACGTTTAGGTGCGTGCCACGTGGGTTTCAGCAATGCGTTGTGGTGATGGTGCACGACCAGGCTTCGGGGTGTTTTGTGCCGGTGTTCTACGTGTTGACCACGCACCGCACCATGGACACCTACACGGCATTATATTTTTGCATCCAGCAGGCATCGGATCGCCTACTTGAACCCGCCGAAGTGGTGTGTGACTTCGAACGCGCCCTCATCGACGCAGTCGGAGACCAGTTCCCAAACGCGGATATCATCGGCTGCTTATTTCATTTTAAGCAAGCCGTCCGCAGGAAGATGAAAAGCATTGGTATCTCCAACCGCGCGGCTGGTATCGCCATGGCTCCGGGTGTATTGGACATGTTGACAGTTGTGCCAATTGAGCAAGTCGAAGTTGGCGGCATCAGCTGGGTTAAACGTCAGGTCAAAGAGCGCTGTAGAAACGACGGTGTAGCGTACGTCCGGTCGAAGTGGAACATTTTCTGGAGCTACTTCAAGCGAACCTGGCTGTAGCTCACGACCCTGCTCTTTGGAATGTTCACGGCCTGACCGAGCGCCTTGTTGCACGCACGAACAACCCGCTTCAAAGGTTTAATAGGGAGCTTAACAGCGCATTTTCGACACCGCACCCCAGCTTGGCTGTATTCGTGACCACAATTGAGGCCATATCGCGTGAGTATGTGGCTACGATTGCTGCCGTTCGAGGAATTCGAGCTCGAGGACGTCGCCGCGAGGCTATCCAACTCCCAGTGCCGGTGGAGCTGCCAAATGAAGTGGAAGAGTCGAGTACCGAGGGTGACAACTCGGAGGAGCTGGACCTCGACAGTGATGGCGATACAAACGGCAACGGTCGTGTGCAGGCAGGTGTGGTCCACACCGTTTGGACGATGAAGACTCCATGCTGGCAGCTTCAACCGTCGTCTAATGGCCGTGTGACGCATTGGCATACAGGTGATCTATTTTCCTTACTGCATATTTTGCCTTACATCATAATTTCAATATACTCTCGCTTTTATCACAGCGGTCCGATGTCTGGTAGGACCTGGTATTGCGGTCGGATATACTGCCTGACCTCTGCATCATGCCCTACCCGTATCTGACCTGATAAATAGCTAACCGTCGGGCATATCATCCCAAGTACGTACGTGCTGTCGATTCAACGCGACCGCGTCTTACGACTAAGATGATTGCCCTATTATTTACGCTACTTCGCAGGCTTCCGTGAGGCGCTCAAACATCTCGATAACTACGACCAGTGCTACCACGGCTGAGTCGTCTTACTCGCTGGAACAAGTCGTTCGTCTGCGTTTACCAAGGGGTTTCCGGATAGCAAGCACGGCCGCGAATGGAAGAGGGCTTGTAATGAGGGCTGGGGACACGGATACTTGGCGGAGACGACGTGGCGAATGTTGCTGGCAACCACACGTTCGATCGGGTTGGGTCGGGTTGCGTCGGACTGAGTCGGGCTGAGTCGGACTGAGTCGAGTTGGTTCAGATTGAGTCGGACTCGTCAGGCTCGGTAGAATTAGTCGAGCTTGGCAGAATTAGTCGGGCTATGTCGGGCTGAGATTCAATAGTCTAGGTAGACGTCACCGCTATCAACCTCTATACAGTGGTCGTGCTCTGAATTGTGCTACTTAAAAGAGTTTGCTACCCGTTATACCGCAACAAGTGAGCATACATGTAGATAAATTCAATTTTGGCAGGATACTCTTGACGTGACAGAAGCACTAACGCCCGCCTAAGGCGGGCCCTGCTGAGTGAGGCCTTAGAGAGACTGTTTGCAACCGGAGCGGAGCGGATGTCTGCAGTGGTCGGCGCGTAGGCCGGAGGAGTTGCACTGCGAAGTATGTTCTATCTTTATATGCGACCAGGATGCACACCGAAGCAAAGCGGAGGTCGTGCGTTCCGCGGTCGACCTGAGTAGGTTCCCGTCGAGCCCCGTAGCACAGCGAAGGGCGTTGTGACGGGACCCGGAGTACAATTAACACTGTTGGGTCACAAGTCTATATATTACACTGAGTTCAGTACTTGATCCCAGCGAAGCTTCAGCCACAGCTCCCGTATGCATGTCGGGGCCCACCACCCGCTACGACGTACAGGAGCTAAGGCAAATCATCAGTTCCATGGCCCACGAGCAGTTTAATGGCCATCACTGTTTCTACCAATCCTGATGATGTAGCCATCTTTTTCTAGATATGATTTGCCAAAATAAAAACAGCTGATTTCAAGTGAAACCTCAGTGACTTGATCGGGAGGACACACCGCGCGTCAGCAGTGCTCGGAAGGGCTCTTCCTTCTCTTTGCTGCTTCCCCGCACCATTATTTGTCGTACGTATATACCCTGGCGTAGGTATGTGGCGGGTAGCGTTTGACATTCGTTATGGCACCGCTCGCAGGTAAATCGGCCGGTCAGGCACCGTATCATAGTGTGTGGGCGACTCCGTAGAGAAGCTTCCTGCATGGCCCCACCACTAACTCTGCTGCGAAATGCACCCAACGAGACAAGCGGTGAATATTGGTAGGAACGCGGTAGGCAGGCTAGAAGGCGTGGCGGTCGCGTCCTCTAGCCACCACATTGTGGTGCTGTGCTTGTCACTAGCCTCAGACAGGTAAAGCTATCTATTGCGTGTCCTATTGGTATAGGCAAGCAACAATACATCTACTCAGGAGCCCTTACATTGGTAGACGCCTGCATTGAGATATAAGGGGGGATGCGTCATGAGCTCGTGAGCCTTTAGGAGTAGCCTTTGGGAGCCATGCTCTGCGAGCTCCATCGAGCATGGCGACGACACTTTGTGGCGGAGGTGGAAGAGTTCTGTAGCAAGTAATACATACAAAGTGGTCAGCTTACTAAGTTATGGAGGAAGGGGGGGTCATAGCCGTAACCTCAGTGGTACAGAGCGTGATTAGACGAGATCCCACACATAGTTAAGTCAAGTCAAGGCACCAGTGCCTCCACGTTGAACCAGCAAGACACCGAGGAGGTCGCTCTGAGTAAGGTCCTGCACCAAATGCTGGACGACAACTTCGGGCATGACGAGCCTACTGGGTTCGATGGAGGAGAGTCGTTTGCTTTAGAGCTTGATCGTTGGCTCGTTCACCGGGATCCCACCATTAGCTCGAAAACCAGCAGCAGTGCAGTGTGTGCCTGGATTCGCACCCTCTACCAGTTCCCAAGAATCCGGATGATGGCTCGGGACTTTCTTGCTGTGATGGCGACGTCCGTCCCAAGTGAGCAAGCTTTCTCTCCACCGTAAGTGTTCGGCGAGCAAGACTCGGAGATGATACTGTCTCTGCGGTATCCGAGATGCAGTCCTTCGTGCAATTCAACGAGACCACAGCCAAACTTGAAGCAACCAAAAGCTAGTAATGGAATTCGGCCTCGATAATCCGGTCCCAGCACAGCACTTGCCAAACACCATGCAAATTGATCTTTGCACTGTTCTCCGCACAAATTGTATCAAGCAGCAAAACATCTCCCATGCAGCAGCTCGCCAACGGTTCACGACAAATTGCCCTTGATGTCGGAAAACCAAAACCACAGCTTTGTTCAGCAAACGGTTCGCCACGTTACCCAGCACCACGCTCGTAGACCAAGAAGTTCGAAACCAGGTCATCTCCTCGCCACCCTCTGGAATGCCGCACTCCCTTCCAGATCGTTCAGGCATCGTGCTCCACCACCGCCTCGCCGGCGCAAATCGTCTTCACGTCCATGGCTTCCTTGCTCTCTTGTTCATACGCACAGCAAGAAGCACCCGCAGAATGTGAAGTGCAGCAACTGGCGCGTCTTCCGCAGCAGGAGCAGCCTGCACTGGAGCCACCGGGGCGACAACAACCGGAGCAGCGACAGGGGCCGGCGCCGCGGGAGCCGCTTTCGCCTTCGGAGCAGACGCAGTAGCAGCCTTCGCAGCGGCGGCCGCGGCCTCAGCCGCAGCCTCGGCAGCTCTGATGCAGAGGTGTTCGACGTCTCCTCCTCGAAGTGAACAACCTCGCGGGGGGCGCTGGTACCACAGAATCTCACGCGGCACGGACGGGAAGTCACCAACCTGCACAGTGCGCAGCGCCATGGTCGTCAACGTCGGAGCAGGATCAATCTCCACGAAGCGATGAACACCACTCTATGAGAACAGCAGCGCCTGCGTCTTGATCCACTGCACAGGCACCGCAAACTGGTACGCCAGCAGCTCCACCACCAGAAGGTGCGCGGGCTGGGCCTTCGTCGTCAACTGCAACTGCATCGGGTCGAGCACCTCCGCCAAGAACGGACTCTTCGTCGCCTGGTACACCTCCTCGAAATACGATCGCTCCAGCGAGAACGGAGTGGCCACCGGGTTCGGGATGTACCGGTTCACCAGAAGCGACAGCTGGCGCTCCAGCACCCGCGGGTCGAATTTCGTGCGCAGCATCGCCCGGAACGACGGCACGCCGCCCAGCAGCTCGCGCGAGTGGAACGACACGTCAATACCAACCAGCGGGGTCGTCGCCAGGTCTCGGGACAGCGTAAACGGACGCCCACTCTGCTCGCACTTCTCTTTGCGAGCGCGAGCCTGCGCCAGCGACTCTGCGATCACCTCTTCCTCCTCCTCCGGAGCGGTCGACTTCAAGGCCTTGAACGCAGCCAACGCCAGCGACAGCGTCTGCAAGTTCACGTTCTCACCAGCAACCACGTACTGGCGCTGCTGGATGTTGAAGTTCACAATCTGCAGGAGCTTACCCGAAGCAGCCTCGATGCCGTCCACATGTCCTCCTCCGTGAAGTGGGGGCCAACATGTGTAGGGTTCGTTGCCACCATACCGTAGTCCGAGCGTCACTCAGCGTCACGCGTTACAGCCTTCTGTATGATGATTGCACGCAGGAATACTAGATCCATGAGTATAGCGCTTCCACGAAGGAGTTCAAAAACCAGCGTACTCGCCCAGGGACTAGCCAACAAGATAGGCATCATCAGGAATCAGCTCCGCCGCGTCCGTTGCCGAAAAGCTGTAGCTCTCAGTATCTTCATCAATCTCTGGTAACAGCGGGGTAACCTCACCAGTGACAGGGTCTTCACATTTCAGGTTCATGTAATGTTCGCGAATGTTGCAACCCTTCTTACCTACCGCCAAAGTGCACCGTAATGGACTTCGGGTTCTTGTGCACCATCTCGAGGATGGAGAAACCGAAAGTGTTGTGTCACATCACCACGGTTCCAGATCTCGCAAGCAACTGAGGACTCCTGGTAGCGGTCCATGCCCATGTTCACCGCGGCAGAGCCCTGTCCAGGGAACACAAACGCCATCGGCGCCTGCATCATCACAGCACGCGTGCTAACCACGTCCTCGCCGGAACCGTTCACAACCTCCACCGACAGAACCTTCTTGCCGTCGTCGAGGCCGATGTGGCGCGCCTACATGAACAGCTTCTCGTCCGGGTACACCATGCCGTCGAACTTCACGTCGTAGTCAACGACGTTGCTGTCGAAGCAGACAGAAGCTCTCGATGACCAGGTCGCGGACCTTCGTCACGGTCCACAGACCGTGCATGATCGGCTTGCCCTTCGGCAGGTGGCCCAGGATGGCGGCGTACTTCGAGCGGTTAATCGGGTTGAGGTCGCGCGAAGCCACGGCTTACGCCAGCGCGTTCGTCGGCACATTGATCTCCAACGGCTCTCTGGCACGTGCGAGCCACCGTTCGCAAACATGCCACCGGCATTCGCGTCCGCCGGCTGTACCTGGCGCAGGAACGCCACCCCGGGGCTCTCGTTCACCTCGTTGCTCTTGAGCTCAACCGTGCCGATCTCCACCTTCGAGCCAGCCTCCTCACGGCACAGCACACCCGACACTTCCACAGAGCTCAGCGAGTTGATCAGCGCGTACTGCTTCTTCATCGTCTGCTCGAACGACAGGTTGTCACCGACGCTCACCGATGCCTCGGCAGCCAGCTTCGGCCACGATTTCAGCTTCAGGATCTCCACATCCTCCTAACGCTTGAGCACGAAATCGGTCGTCAACTTGTCGATCGAGAAGGTTGCCTCGAAGACATTGAACGAGCCGCGGATCAGGAACTCGCCGTGCAGCTCCACCAGCGGCTCCAGCACCTCCTCCAGTTGCTCGTCCACCGTCTTGCGTAAGATGATGACCACACCGTGCACTGCTACAGTCGCCGATGTGCAGACCGCTGACATTCGACGTGCTCGGGATGTCGTCGCCAGGAATGAACGTCGCGGACATCTTGCGGGATGGCAGCAGTCTGTGCGAGTGCTTCAGGTGCACCAGGTCCAGCAAGTTGCCCTTCACCTCCTTCGTGAACACCGACTTGATCAGCGGACGCCACGACACGATCGTAAAGAAGTCGGTGGGGGCGCCCACCTTGTCCACGCTGAGACCCAGTGCGGCACGGTACGCCAGGATATCCTCCTTCGTGATGCTGAAGTCGGCCGTGAAAGTTACCAAGACCACTACGCTTCAAGTGCTCCTTGAACACTGCATAAAACAAAATCCACATCATTTTAAGTACCCACAAGACCAATTTCTGCGATGCATTCTGTAGACAACATACCTGTCATCTTGCTGGCCATCTGAAGCATCTTGGTACGCAGGCCGACATTCGGCAGCGAGCCGTCCTCCAGCGGCTGAATCCACTTCTTCACGATCTGTTCGCACAACAACGACAACAACCCACAATCATTAGCCTTACACTCCAACCCCCACCAACCTCACCACCAAAACCCCTTACCGTGAGCAGGTCGAAGTCCAGCAGCATGAGCTGGAGCTGCAGCTTGCGCAGCACATGGAGAGTGCTGTCCACGAACTTGATCTTCTCCAGGGCCGGGCGGCGCTCGGCGATGCTGGCCAGGTCGTCCGCGTAGGCCTTGTCCATGCGGTAGAGCACCTCCTGCGTGATCTGCTCCATCTCCTGCGGCGACAGACTGAGCTTGGTGCGGGAGCGGTCCGTCTTAAGGGACTTGAGCCCCGGTCGAAGAAGTCGTCCTTGTGCTGCTGCGTCTGCTCGGGCTCGTCCCCGAGCGGCCGCTCGTCGTCGAACTGCTGGCGGTCGTCGTCGTACTCGCCCAACACGTCAGCCAGGCCTTCGTCCCTGTCGATGAAGTCGTCATCCTCCTTGGTGGCCACAGCCTCCTCGCCCGAGTCGAACTCGTCTCCATCGTCGCGGCGCTTGGAGCGGCCGGCATCGTCGTCCCGGACTTTTTGACACGCTTGGGGGGCGGCGACGCCTCGCGCTCCACGGGCTTCTGCTCGTCGCCAGAGTCGTCCGAGTCCTCGTCGCCGAACATCTCGTTGATGCTGCGCTTCTTGCGCTCGTCCTCTGCACGGAGCGACCCACAGAGACGCATGGAGCGTCGCAGAGCATAGTAGAGGTCAGTAAGGAGGCGGCGCGGCTGTCAACAGAGTCTCAGAGGCTGCGGGGACGCACCATCGGAGCTGCCCATGGCTGACTGCGCTGGCTTCTGGCGGTGGCCTGCATGTCGAGGATCAAGGTGTCGAGCGATTATGTGTGAATACACAAATGTACCCATATTAGGGTACACCCGGAGCTCTGGTTGACAACTTCAACGGCAATAGGATCGTGCCAGTCGAGCAACGGACCGCAGAACGATTTAAAGAGAGGAAAGGAACTCGACGATTTATACCACCGTCTTTGGAGCTTTGGATGGTACGCCACAGCAGGCATGGTGCTGCAATAAATCCCACGGCGTTGCCTGTTGTTCGTCAGTACATTTAATAGCCAGCTACGGTGATCCTCCATAGGCAGGAGGCGCCGGCTCGATGGAGTTGATACGGTCTACAAAAGACGGCTTGGCAGGCAGAAATGGGCAGGCAGGTCGCACCAGGTAGCAAGAGAGTCAGGACCAAACCACGGCCAGATCGACCGATACCCTCCAGCTCTTGCGCCGTCGTCGAAAGAAGGAGAAGAAGGAAAAAGGAGGCAACCAATCGCCTCTTGTTGACGTCGCAATTTATATGATCGAGCAAGGCGCACAGCACAGCGCCTTCGCAGCTGGATTCTCTTCGTCCTGCGGTTTTCCAGCGGCAGTCGTCCCCCGTGACCTGTTGGTTGGAATTCACCATCGGATACTTTGGTCCAGCTGCAGCAGTAGCGGCAGTGTTGTTGGCACTCGGGACCACTGGATTGGGATGGGAGAACAACGCACGGGCGATCAGGTTGGCGTTCGGCACGTCGGGATTCGGGGCGTCGGCGTGCGACAGCGAGAGCCGCGCGAGAGCGTTGGCGTTGGGGACCACGGGATTCTGCGTCTCGACGTACGACAAGGACAGGGACGAGCGCCGACCGCCCGAGTCCGAGGACGTGCCTCGGGGTCGTCGGCCGCCGTACTCGCTGGACGCGTCGCTCTCGGCGTCCATGTGCTCGCTGCGCAGACTGAAGACCTCGGAGGGTATACCCTCGGGCCGGTGCTGCCGCGCCTGCAGGCCCTTGACCCAACGTGCGGCGTCGTCTTGACTGTCGACCTTGGGCAGGTACGACTGCTCGCCGATGGCGATGGCGAACGCGAGACATCACGCTCTCCGCGCACGCAGCCTCGCACGAATCCTCTTTCTTGTCCTCGATGGCCATCGCCATGTCGATGAAGCCGCTGCCCTTAGCGTGGATCGAGCACAACAGCTCAGGGTGGTGCTGGAACGTCATCTCCATCGACACGATGCCGATTTTCAGCTCGGCCACTGCCGGGCAAACCTCATTCACCACAACGGCACTCGCTGTGCCCTTCTTCGCGATCTCGATCACGAAATGTCGATCGATCTGTCGAACACTCGAATGCCGGCAGCGTCGATCACGTACTTCTGGCCAACCCGGGGGACAAGAAGCTGGCGCAGCCGGGTTCACAAGCCACTTCTTCTCCTTCACGACGTGGGTCGACGAGATGAGCGCCTTCAGCCAGTCCTAGTCGCTCACGGACGCGGCGAGCGCCGCAAGCCACTCTTCAGCAGACGGAATGGCGCTCTCATCCGTCGCTCTCCCTGACCTCAACTCCAGCGATGTCTACAGTCTGCTTGGTAGCCGCAACCGACGCGGCAGAAATCGCGCTGCTCTCCTTGACAACGTTGATGAAGCCCGAGTTGATGCCTCCCAGGATGTCCGCCACGGGCTCATCCACCACCGTGCTGTAGTGCACAGCCACGGGGCCCTGCAGGATGAACACGCGCTGCTCGACGCGCTCCGCCACCGCAAGTCCTTCGAGTACTACATAGGGGCCTTCTTGAACCACGTCTTGAAGTCCTTGGTGATCGCAGGCACGAAGTTCACCGGCTTTCCACCCGTGCGGCACAGCTCCAGGAAGAAGTCGCAGTCCGGCAGCGACAGCAGCGTCGACACCGTCGAAGGTTATTTCGCGATAAACGCGCTCAGCGTTCCGCGCGGGTTCGACTTGAGCTCCGACTGGTCGAACAGCGCGCCAGAGCTCTCGCGGCGGGAACATTCCTCCGTGCGCGTGATGAGCTTGTTCACGCGCGAGAAGTACGTGCCGTGCACCCAGCACTGCGGCTTACCTTCCATCTCTACGTATGTCAAGTCGACCAAGCGCGTCAGCACGTCTCCGTACTACAACTCCACCAGCTCCGCCGGGACAACCTCGCCCGTATCGACGTTGCGCTTGCAACCGAAGAACGGCTCCGACGCGATACCAGGCATGAAGGGGATATAAAGATAAGGAGAATGCTATCTTATTGGTAAATATTCGTTCTGATTTGAGCCAATCGAATGGTGCTGAACTAACTTTATATTCTAATTTACTCGTTATCATAGTTCCATGGTTATCTGGTTCAACAGGCTTTACCTTTGTCATCATATATCGACGAACAGTATTAGTCGGAATTTAGTCGGAATCGGTCGGAATCAGTCGTTACTCAACCCGATCCGATCGGATTGGTCAGACGGGGATATTCGATCAATCCGATTGGTCGATTTAACATCTCTAGATGTGGCTGAGAGAATGTGTGACAGGTGGCGGAAAGTTGCGAATTTGCAACTTAAGTGCTGACTTGAAGTTGCTATTTGAGGTTCTGGTTGCACATTAAGAGTGCTGTTGGCTGTCGTCCTTTGGTCGACCCGGACTCGGATTTCTCCTTTCTCTGCAATGGTGCTGATGTGCTTCTGTGGTATTTCTGACATAATCTTTGGGTATTTTTCGTATTTAGTCCCCACGGCACGCCTAGACGCGTTATAACTGCAAACAGTCGAACGCATTACAGTACTCCCCTATCTTCCGGGTGAGCTTGTAAAGGAGCGCGTCCACACGGACGGGTATCGACGTTCGAGACTCGCTGAGATGGGACCGTAGGACGCAGAATTCCTACTACAAAGTTCGATTCACAGGAGGGGTCCCTGCACTGGTGGGCTTGGCTGAGAAAATATAAATAACACACACAGATCCGTGAATTCCACAACGATGGTGACAATATACATCCGAATAGAAGGCGGTAGTGGCGGGTGCGAGGAGCGTAGCCGTAGCAAACCCTCGTGAGGTGCCCGCGAAGCAGGGCCGTGCGGTATTTGCGTAGGCGGGCCCAGCGACGAGTATTCCAGCGAACGGGGCCGTTGCCGCACACTCGGATTTAGTTTCTCTAATGCGGGGGTCTGGGGGTGCAACCCTTTTATTAGAGACCTCACAGCTTTGTGTGTTTTCTGTGCTGTCGATCGTTCATCCATTGTCAGGACTCGTCTTCCGGTGCTAAATGCAACTGCGTTGACGGCTACCGCGATCGCCATTGACTTCAGCGGAGAGAATCGCAACCCAATCTGATGCCCTCCACCGTAGCCCTGGAGCTGCTGATGCAATGCATCAGCAGCTTGGGTCGGCATACCAGTGACAGCAGACAGCTTCATCCTCGAGCAACGTACCCCCACTGCCTCCTCCAGCGTTGGAGGAGCTCAGGGGCGATCGCACGAACTTAACGACGTATCGAACAGGACATCGACGGCATTCATCGAAAGCTGCGCGATGTGGACACTGCGTTGCCCCTCGAACATGACTTCGCCAGCGGCGCAGGGAGATTTCAATACAATGCTGGAGCCCAGCACCAGCAGTTGCAATGGCAATGGCAACACGTCCGAGCTTCATCTTCTTAAAGGCCAGTGTGTGTGGCTTTGGAAACTTCGGACAAGGATACGCGAGCTGGATTGAATCTATACCAACAACATCGGACCCAGCGCACAGTACGAGCAAGTGTTATCGCTAGCAAATTATAATATCAGTCCTCCAGATACTAACGTGTAAATAGTAGTATATGGATATGTTTAGTTTTTTCTTGGTTGCTCTTTTCAAATCTACTGCAGTGCGAGTCCATGTGTTTGTTTCTTGCGGCGGAGACTGTATACTGTATTATAGCATGTGCGATCCGTCAACCACGATGCTTTCTCGGCACATGCATTCTATGATATGTACAGTATTACGAACGGCCATACTGGTGGGTTCCGGAGATGCACAGGTTGCGTACTCTCGAACAGTGTAGTCTGGTGTTTTTCTGTTAAAACAGATCCTTCGGTTTGTATGTACACGTACTTGTAGGGTATGTTGATTAAATTAATACATGTAGACAACGGCTTCCGATGGACGACACGCATGAGTCAGGTTGGCAGGCAAGCCCCTACGTACAATTCATTAAGTGTAACGGGGGCAAAGGCTGCGATATCGCCTTTGTGGGCAGGCAAGCATGTTTGCGATCGCCTTCTTCAAGGAATCGCGTTGGTGGCGCATCGTGGGGCTATCCGCTGTGTTTCGTCTTTTAAGCTGTTACTATGTAGTCTCAAGTGGTCCCATCCCAAGAAAAGAAGACTTGTAGAGGAGTGCCACCCAGGAGATAATCGACGACGCATTACCAACTGCACGTTGCCTCATTTCTGTCGATATTTCGTGTCCGGATTAACCCCGTCAACCACGGAGTCGGTTAATCGCTAATCGCTATTGTAGTTTGTCCTACCTTTCCTCACAGAGTGAGATCACCTCGGACTGAGAGCTCATTGCCAAATTTTTGTAGGATGGCGCCAAGTCGACTCCCCCGCGCGTCCACAGTGCTGCTCACGGCCACTTTGGCCGTCACGGCGACCGCCATCGATTTCAGCGGCCAGAATGACATCGCACAGACTGCAGCCACCGTAGCTCCCGGAGGGGAGACTTCGTCCACGACAGGAGCTAACGGCTTTGGCAATTTCGACTCGCCGACGCAGTGGGCAGCATCCTCCTCGAACAACGTGCCGACGGTGGCCCCCACTGTTGCTTCTAGCGGAAGCGGGGGTTGGTCTCAACCAACGTCACAGACGACAGATACCCCGTCGGTATGGACTCAGTCGAGTGGGAGTGGCCAAGGCTGGCCGCAACCAACTCCTGCGAGCGGTGGCAGCAACCAAGGCTGGCCGCAACCAACTCCTGCGAGCGGTGGCAGCAACCAAGGCTGGCCGCAACCAACTCCTGCGAGCGGTGGCAGCAACCAAGGCTGGCCGCAACCAACTCCTGCGAGCGGTGGCAGCAACCAGGGATGGTCGCAGCCAACTCCGGCGGGTGGTAGCGACAGCCAAGGCTGGTCACAGCCGACGACTACGGACACTCCTTCCGTTTGGACCCCAATAAGTGGACAACCGAGTGGAACTGGAGACCAAGGCTGGTCGCAGCAGACAGGTTGGACGTCCACAGCATCGTCCGCGACTGGAGCGCCTTCGATCGGAGAGTCCAGTGGACCCGACGACGGAACTCTAGGCGTTGAGTGCAGTGGTTCGAGCGATGAAGGTGGGGTATCGGACGACCAGGGGATGAGTCTCGAGTGCAGCGGCTCCGACGAAGGTGTCGAGGGGGGCGATGACGACTACAGCCTCGAGTGCAGCGGGTCTGACGAGGAGGAACCGTCGACCGAGACTTCAACTGCGCCGACGACCACCACTGCACCGTCAACGTCCAGCGGAACGGGCGACCAAGGCCAGCCTTCGTCGACTGCCTCATCGTCTGACACGGCCACCTCCGCTGCTTCAGGAGAGAGCGGGGAAACGAGTCCGTCGACTTCGACGACGTCTTCGTCCGACACTGCGACGTCGGGTGGCACTGGTGAGACGCAGACTTCTTCTACTGCCTCCTCTTCGAACACTGATTCATCCTCGAACACGGAGCAATCGCCGGCGTCCTCATCCAATACGGCGCAACCGTCGATGGCTTCCTCGTCCAACACGGAGTCTTCAGCGACGCAGGGAGGATCGGATGCGACGCAGACGTCGACCAGCACTGGCGAACACGCTACGTTCGGCACCGTCACGTCAAAATCTGGCGCGTGCGTTATCGGCAACCCGAACAAGTACGTGACAACGAAAGACATCGACTGGGTGTACGAAAACCGTATGGGTGTGAACCAGACCAACAACAAGAATTGGATCTTCGACCACATTGTGAAGAACAAGGGCACGCTCAACTACTGCGTGCGCTGGGACAGCACGCAGAAACTGTCCAAGACGGTCGCGTCCAAGTTCCAGGCGATGCTGGAGCGCCAGTACGCCGCGTGGAACCGCTGGTTGGTCGGCTACGGCTGTTGGCCCTACGACGAGATCAAGGTCAACATGGTCGGCTTTGCTGTCAAGGACGCGTCTCTGCTGGACTGGACGGACGACTCGCTCGGTACGATTTATGAGGGCGACCTTGACGCGGAAGGGGTTCCGCAGTGTCCTCAAACTTGCTACCGGTTCTACGACAATGGTCCTCAGACTTGGACCGACACCAGCGGATGCAAGGGCGAGCCTTTCGACCTCTCGCTCTGGCCCAAGCAGGGTCTTGAAGGTGGATTCGGCTACGACTGGGGCCAAGAGGTCAACCTCGAAAACATGCTGCAGACTATCGATAAGGAGCAGCTCACGATCGTCGCCCACGAGATCGGCCACGGCTTCGGTCTCCCCGATTTTTACTCGGAGGCGGAGAAGCCCAATCCCGACTGGCCCAGCTGTATCATGATGGCTGGCAGCTCCATGACTGTCACGGACAGCGATGGCTGGATGGTGCGCCGCGCGTACGAACATATCCGCTCGCGCTACAATTTTAAGTAAGCTATCCAAGTGGTCTTAGTTCAGTTTCACTGCTCGCATCAGGTACGAGCACGTCTGTTGTGTAAGAGAGATTAATCGATGTTCGAAATGCGATGTTACTGCGCTGGTTGCAGTCTGAGTCTATTCACTACATTCAGATTATACTTGATAATACTACGGTAAAATACGTTTCAGAAAGTAGTACCCCTTAGCTTGCTTAGTCAGTACGCAATGAAAGATGCTTCGTGATGCGATTGATGCCTAGCGACGGGTAAGGTCCTTCTCTTCATCTCTCTGCAGTGCAAAAGAAGACCACTTGCAGAACAATCTTGGATACAATGCGGACGAGTTCAAGCGAGTTCAATTCGCGAGCTTCCCCACCAAAATTGCATCGCTCTATCATGTCATAAATATCATCGAATCTACGCAATGAAGGCGGAGGTGGAACAGATGATCTGAAATGGTTTCGATTGCTGCTGGACGAACACAACGTCAAAGTCCGTGACGAAGCCATTGGGTGCGGCTTACTTGCTATACAAAAACGGATGGAAAACATACATAGGTTAGGTGAGATGCAATCCGCGCGATTAAGAAACAGGATAGAAATAGATGAGCCATGTGAAGTGCTTCCCTAAGTGGTCGCGAAATTTCTGCTCGAGCCCGGAAGATACCTGTGGGACTGCGCCAGAGAAATCGACCAAGCTCTTGACTGTGGGCAAGATGCTATTGCGGAGTTGATTTATGCCAAGTCCCCCATGTATGACGGCAGAACTCTGTTCTGCCATCTCGCTGTCACCGGCAACTTGAATGGAATCACGTACATTTAATGAAAGGCCACAATAGGCCTGAGCTGGTCGATGAAGCATTTGTGCAGGCAGCGGGTCACGGACGCATCAGCATTGTGAGGGTTTTGATCAGACGTGGGTCGATTTCACCAGAAACGTTTGATTTGGCTTTTGAAAGTGCGGCTACGTTCCGCGATCCAGCAGTCTTAACATTCCTAGATGGTGAGTGTCGAGTGGACCTCCCAAGTTGCAGCATTCGAAAGTGCAAGAAGTGCTGCTGCTATCGAGTTTATCCTCTGCAACGAGAGCAGCTCTGCCGAATCGGTTGTGGTGACGTTTAAAAATGCTGCTACGATCGACAGAAGATATTTAATCTTCTACGCAAGCAGACGGAGATTTCAGCGGACGTGATTAACGAAGTGGTCGCCGAAGCTACGCTGAACTTTCAACAGTCAACCTTGCAGATTGTAGTGGAGGCAATCTCCAGCGTGGCTAGCAGCAGCACTATTGGTCGCAGCCATTACGACAAACGTGATGACTGCGACAAGTTCATCTTTTGCATTGAGTCTGGTACAACAGCAAACACATTTCTGGCCAACAACAAACACTTTTTGACCACTAGCAAACACAAACTGACACGACCAAACACTTGTCGCGGAAAGTGGTCATTGGCAAACACATTACTGACCACTAGCAAACAGACAACTCACTTCAATGGGTATGCACAGAAATAGACTCAGGAGAGAATGTTATGCGAATGTTCTAATATTACCAGTTGTTTAGTGGTACCTTGTACCTTGGGAGAAACATCAAGTAAGTGACCACATAATCTGACCGGATAGCACGGTAGTGTACTGTAATACAGTATGGTCTCTCAAGTTATTCTGAACGCGCTCAAAATAGTCCGACCAGGTCAAGTTATTTGAAACGTGTCGCTCAAAATAACTTGACCTGGTCAGATTATTTGAAACCAGTGCTCAAAATAATCTAACCAAGTCAAGTTTTGCAAACGCGGCGTTTACAATAATCTGACCAGGTCAAGTTATTTGAAACGCGGCGCTCAAAATAACTTGACCTAGTGCTCAAAATAACTTCACCTGGTCAGATTACTTGAAACCAGTGCTCAAAATAACTTGACCTGGTCAGATTATTTGAAACCAGTGCTCAAAATAATTCGACTTAGCAAAAACGCTAAACCGCACAGTCTGATCGTATTTTATGTTGTCCACATTGTTGCCGTGAATCGTACGCTCCGTTCATTTTTGTTATGCCACAGCCATTAACGCTCTTTCTGCCCAAACAGCACGATGCCGCCGAAGCAAAAGTGATCCAAGCGCGCCGAGCTTCACCTGGAGCCTGACTTCGTTAAGTATAGGTGGAAAACTTCTGCTGCTCTGCTGTATTATCAGTGAGGACGAGGAGTGCAATCTGTGCCCAGGAGACTACAATATGATTGAACGTCGGCTGCACTGCAAGAGTCCAACTAGTAAAGAACGCGCAGGTCGAAATAAGTGTAGAGTTCAATGGAAGGTGCATACTTGCAAAACAGCATCGACCTGGGTGATTCTTCAGAATGAAAAAGTTCACGTGCGCGGAGAAATGGCGTGCGCCGTCCTCCCTCGGCCCAAAGTGACGCCAGAGATGCGAAACTACATCCAGCGCATGGACGAAAATGCCGTACCCCCCCCCCCCCGTTGATATGGAGCAACATGCTGAGAGCACCGGAGATTACGACTCCTGTTCTAGAGTTCCCAACGTGTGCTCAAGTTCAGCGCAGCGTGCGATACAACCGATGGTTGCAAGGTGCGAAGCATTCGATTGCCAAAACGCGAGAGTTAGTGATTGCAAAAGCATTTAAGGCCGATTTAGACCCTGGTGCAGCATTCGTGTTCGGGAATCGCGAAGACGATCAGGGGTTCCATTTGTGGGAAACGGCGATGATGACCAGCCACTGGTTTTGGGGATGACAAGCGTCAAATTAATGGAAAGCGTTTTAGCGCTGCAGCGGAAGGAATCCTTCTTGATTTTTCATCTCGATGCTACATTTAAGCTCAGCGATCTCGGATACCCAGGGGCTCAGAACCCTGAAGTTGCAACCCGACTCCAAGAATCCAGTGGCGTAATCAACGGAAACGCAAGTGTCGCAGGCCAGAGACGGGAGACAGCTGATCCGAAGAACACTTCCGAAGTCGCCGCCTCCCAGCTAAGAGCGACCCTCGCGCAGACTTCCGCCGACACTTCCGGCAGAATTGCGCGCGGCAAGCGGGGACATGGAGCTGCGGAGACCAAGGTGACGCAGGATATCAAGCTGGAGCCTGTGTCTCTGGGGAAGACGTCGGATCCCAGAAGAACAGCGGCCTCAAAGGCCTCGCAGGACGCTAAGGCAGACTCCAAGCGCTCTGCGCCCAAGAAACACCAGCAGAAGAAGAAGCGTCAGGATGTCAATCCACCCTCGGACTCAGACCCAAGCTCCGATTCCAGCGATAATGACTCGTCCTCTGAGAGTTCGGATGACAGTTCGGACGAGAACCCTGGGGCTAACCTGACGACGGCCTCTACGGCTCAAGCCGGCACTACGCTCCTGACGTTCCGACCGTACATCAACTCGAATACTCTGGGTGAGTTCGACACTAAGGCGTCACTCAGAGAACGCGTGCATTGGTGGGAGCGTTATGCGAACATGACGGCTCAGGGAGGCTGGTCTACGAAGATGCGAATTCAGGAACTCAAGTTGAAACTCTCGGGAGCTGCGCGTGACTGGTTCAACCAGTTGCCCAAGCACACTCAGCGTGACTGGAAAGAGTTGTCGTCTGCATTCAGGAGGACGTACTGCAAAGCGCGCTCGTCGTACTCTGAACGCTACTTCACGATGGAGATGAAGACCTCAGAGAGCGCCCTGGATTTCTTCTATCGTCTGTATTCCGCCGCTGGGAAGGCTGACATTGACTTTCGCAAGTCTTCGAAGCGTCTGGAGAAGCATATCCGGAGATTTATCACGAAACTCAGGGACACGCGCCTCAAGACGTCGCCCCAAGGTCAGAGATTCAGAAGTATCGTTGATCTGGAGAGTATGCTTTGAAGCAGGACTAAGATGTCTGGAGTCGCAGTGACCAGGATTGTAACGGGGTTACACGCACAAGTGGCTACAGTCACTTGTTACTCTAACAGATGCGATGTCTGTTAGAGGTTTGAACACTTCCTCGACCTTGGTGTAAGGTACACCAATGGCTACATACATTTACGACCACCACGACGGGTGGTCCATGCACATTTAGGATTCCTATTGGCTGAAAGCAGCATCTTTTAGCCAATGCGTGACTTGCATGTTAGCAGAATCCTGCCAACCAGCCGTTGGCAAATTCCTAGTTTAGAATATTACATTTAGAGGAAGTCAGAAACATAAAACAAAAATAGGCTACTTGGAGTCTTTATCTTGTTTAAAGTATACTCGTGGATCTCGAGTAAACTTAACTCAAGTAAAAGAAACCTACGCTTCCTCATACACGTGCGCATACGTGTAAGCCGTAGTAGTGAGCCAAGGTAGGCCCACTACATCTGGTAGCACTTTGTAGCCCGTCCAACGACCGACTACCTGAACGTTCGTACAGAGCTGTACGAACGAGGAGCCGATAACCTTTTCATGAGCGCGGAGGTGCCCATGGAAAGTTCCACTTCGCCTGCAACTCATGTTGCACGCGCTGACTGCCTCCAGCTGTCGGATCCAGAGTGGGAGGCGCTCCAACGACTGTCAACAGTCATGGGAGAAGCGGCTGTAGCTGCAATGCTGCGTACGCTATCGCCGACAGAGCAATATGGTGTTGCTCTGGGGTTCATCATGAAGGAGCAGCGTGATGCTGCTTCCTTTACCACGGTGGCGTCGGAGACGACACCGCGTGGACGATCGTTGAAGCTAAACGTGAGCAACTATGTCGGAAGAGAGGGCGAGCCTCTCCTCCGTTGGCTTGTCGAACTCGACACTGCCATCGCGGCTCGACGTATCGTCGACTCGTTGTCCAAGGTTGCGTTCGCCATGTCATGCCTTGGCAGACGAGCGAGAAGTTGGGCGTATGGACGTCGACTCTCTGATCCTACGTGCTTCAGCACGTACGAGGGTTTCAAGGAGGAGCTCAGGCAAGCGTTTGAGCCCCCGCAAAATGAGTTTCGGTCGAGGTCAGAGCTCCTCGACCTACAGCAGGGTTAGCACGATGTCCATGCTTACGCGCAGAGAGCACGGTACTTGGTCTCGAACATTGTGACCAACCCGATAGACGAGGCGACCAAGGTCGTCACGTTCATGAAGGGTCTGAGAGATGGGCCTGAAAAGACCTATCTCTTCCGTGAGTACCCAGGCACTCTCAAAGCTGCGATTACTCTTGCAATGCAGGAGGGTTTAGTCTGAGGCAGACTAAACTGCATGCGAATGCGCCGAGGCTGCAACCGCCTCCGGTCGCGATAGCGGGAGGTCCGGAACCAATGGACCTCTCGAAAGCAACGGCTGTTGGTTATCATCAGCAAGAAGGAAGTAATGTACGATGCTTCCGTTGCGGAAGGATCGGTCACTATGCCCGAGAGTGCACGGCACCCGTGCACCGAGATGGTGGTCGTGGTCGACGCGGCGATACCGGGCATCGTCGTGGACAAACAAAAAACGCTGGAACCCAGTAGGCGCGGGGCGCCCTACTGGTGAAGCAGTCACGCAAGTCCAACTCGGACATGCGACACTGAGGACTGCAGCCCCCAGTTGCCGCCCGATTTGACGTGTTATCTCGGAGTCCGGTTCTCCCTATACACTAACTGTAGAGTCAGCTGTACGTGTAAATAACAGTTAGTTAGTGTCTAGTAAATTTTGCTAACATGTATTTGCCGAACGAGCATCACTAATTTTGCACAAAAACGGAAATTACTAAAGATTTTTACACTTCAATAACTTTATCTACGCCGCTCCGATCCTTCTGGTTTTCTATATTTTTTAAAAGAGATAAGACGCTTTTAATTCGATATTGTGGCCGACATTGTCCCAACTCAACGGTACTGTCACATTAGATCTTGAAGTGCCAGTCTAGAACGGATAGTCCCATCCGTTTGGTTGTTTTTAATTTTAAGGACCAACTCGTGCGGACAGAACTGATAGTGAGGCGAGATCCTCAATTAGCAGCGATGGCGGTGCTGTATTTCCTGTTGAAAGCATCTACGCACGTAAGACTCTTACGTGCGTAGATAGTCTTACGGTAAGACTGTTGATATGCAGTGACTGTACCTGATAAGCCCCAGACAGACGAAAGGCTCGGTACGTGCGCTAAGTATCTTGGTATAGATCCCAAACTAACTAGTGCGACTATCGCTTTGAAGCGCGAGCTACTTGAAGTCTGATTGTAAGCACCGCGGCGCAAGCACTCCCTCCTTTCGTGCTGCTTTGTACGTGTGCGCACAACTTCTGCTGGTTCGAATACATGCTAACCACTTGCGTTTTTACTATTTGCTAACAGAACTGTATGCGTCATCTTTGCCTAGCGCGACTGTGCCGCGAGGAATCGTCATGGGCGTTGGAACGCTAGAGGTATGCGTTGCATCGTTGGGATGATTGCTGCGACTGGACTAACCTTTGTTGCCTTCAGTAGGCGGTCGTGGTAGGATGGGGACTCGAGTATCTCCAACAGGCGTCGGTTACCGTGAATGCCCCTGGCTTGCTGACGTGAAAGGTATACAATATGCGCTTTATGCTTACGGAATGGCTTATACCGATTGAGATTGGTTTCTGCTTATTGAAATGTTTTACGAAGATGTACATTACGCTGGCTGTTGAGACGACGACATGTCTACATGAACGACAGGTCAAGAGCAGCATCGCCTCCGGTGGCAACGTGATAAGTGTTTGAGTGCTGCCCAAGAACGGACGGCGCTGAAGACGAGCTGAAGAGGAGCCTGCTGCTTAAATTGAGGTATCGACCGCCGCTGAAGTAAGGAATGTTGTGGACTTCAAGTTATACATTCAAGATGAGAGGACGCCGATTTTGCGTTGAAGGTATGGGTGAAAGTTAATTTTTACTTGAATGCTGACTTGGCCCGCTTACACGTTTGACTTTATGCAGAAAGTATCAGGACAGGATGCCTTCTCGCTTTGAAACCAAGTCACATCCTCCACAACCGTAGCAATGCGAGTCACACTATAGTGCAGGAAACTAGCACGCGAATATAGTTCGTCTCGTACATTACATTGCAATATGCCTGCTCTCATGTTGCTCCTATCTTGCTCACACACATAATTCATACTGTTCGACTGATCGAAGTGTGGTGCCATCTCTGCTTCAATGTCGGTGTGCGAAGACAACATCAACTTACTCTGTAGTTGCTCTTCTTCTTTTGCATTGCTTGGTAGCGTTGGAGCGCGCTGTTTGCACTATAGTGGTGGTCCTAGAGGGCTTATCACTTGTAGCAACCATCAAGGCGACAATACCATAGCATCCATTGTGTTACATGTAAGAGAGAGCGGAATGTGTACCCGTTCAGGCGCAACGTATCTCTAAATATCAGTATTGCATAGAATGCACTGTGAGCAGCTCATTGGAGGATTTTTATCCGCAGATCACACCAGCCCCTTCTAGCGGAATAATTACCAGGGAGCTTAGCAGCAAACTGTGTGAAGAAAAGCCAAAATTATACTCGCGTTCACTATGTCATACTGAGTATCATACGATTTCTTATGCCGTCCGGGACGGTTTAATCGTTTTTTAATGTCGCCCATGTCACCCCTCCGCGTCCAAGGGGTTAAGACGCAGAGCTGAATTCGCCCTGACCCGAATATATTTCGCTAGAAGACGGGGTTCAAGGACGCAGAGTGTTTAGATCTCTTTAGTAGGTATGAAAGACATTAACTGCAATCAGCCTTAAGGTTAATATATATCCTGATTATTCTCGTGCTACTAACTCGTCAACTAACAGTCAGCAAACGTACAGCTAACAGTGAGTTAGTGTCTGGTAAATTTTACTAACAGCAAAACGCCCTACACTACATTACTCAGATCGATAGGACGGTGATAGTGGAACAGGGCGCGTCGGAAGTGGGGCAGTAGTAATAGTATTACTACTACCCCTGTCTTGAAGCACTACTATTTTAATTGTATTTGAATAATCCTAGCTGTGGGGTACGTTCAATCCTCTTAATTTTAGCGAACCAAGGGCCAGCGCTGCAGCGTGCTGTAAAAAAAACGAAGCTCGTGCAATTTAGGCACTGACCGGTAACACCAGCGAGAATTCAGCACGTTGTAGAAGGTCTATGTTGCTCACAAGGTTGCTGCGCGTTGGCTGGGAGATCATTTTTCTACTAGTATTTGTTTTATCCTGAAAGTGCAAGTTCTGCATTGGTTGTTCTCAGACAGATAGTTTAGAAGAAAGATTCTCAGATGCAGTATGTCGATGTGACATCATCTAAAACTGTAAGTAGAGTGGATGTGTGTGCCTCTAATTCGCGTTTGTATAGAACCCGTTTTATACTTTTGTGTCTACGAACTGCTTGTGCAACTTGGGCGTTGGGGTTTAAGCCACAACTGTATGGACGGTTCTAATAGTCGAAGGCAGACTGCGGCTGCGAAACGATGGTGGTTTTGCCAGCACAAGGTTTGATATAGTATTTCAAACACCACCGTCATGGATCAATCAGGAACCAGACGATGTCATTGGATACTTTCGCTTCGCTCCTTGAGCTCAGGACGTCAGGGAGCATGTCTGTGTTTTCGCACAAGAGAAGCTAAAATAGTTAGTTTAAATCACCTGCTGTTGTACTGTAGATGGACGACCTGCCACACCAGATCGACCAATAGTTTTCATATATGCTGTCTTTTGAGAGGCCGACCGTCGGCCTACCCGTTTCGGGGTCGGCTCGCTGCTGCTGGGGCACCTATCGGTGAGCTACGGCAACAAGCGTAAGCTAAGAACATCGCTCATCAGCGACGTGGTGCCGAAGACCGGCGAGCAGCGCCGATCTCGGCAACGATTCCTCGCAGCACTCGTGCCCAAATGCAACGACTACGGAATTTTCGAAATGCTCTCCAGCTTCTCTCGGACTTGAGATTGATGGAGAACATAGGCTATATTCAGTTAACTTCAGTTACCGGGGCCAGTTTTTCAGTACATGTATTATATAATACCGGCTTCAGCTACCGAGGTGCCGCCTAGTTAATCTGTGTTGGGCTGGCCACAACACTCCCTCCGGGGTTACTGATATCCCAGAAAAATATAAAGAGAGTGACTAGTTTGCCAAGCTGCCGATATGTTTAGTGCTTCCCGCCGTACATGTAGTTCGCACGAACACCAATCATTACCAGTCCGAGATTTCCAGCGCGGGCATAAGCAACAAACAATTGCTCGCTTCTGCAGCCGACGGCAAGGCTCGGACGACGACTGGCCCAGTGGCAACGGCGGTGAACGCAGCTTTCGCTGCAGAGCTCGGGCAAGTTTGCGGAGAGGGGGGCGGGGCGGGGAAGCGAGGCTCCACTACATATTGTACACGACTACAACATTGCACTCCAACGGCGCATCGCGCTTAATACCTGCTTCGCAGCACCGCCGTCATCTCAGATAACGCGCAGCGCATCTTCATCTCATAGCAGTTGCCAGGGAAGCGGAGTAAAAGAAAGCGATGGCGAGGAGCGACCTATTGTGTTGAAAGTAAGCTGCGCCCCCCCCCCCCCCCCCTTATCGGCCATGATTCTTGGCTGTTCCACAACACCAGGTGTTTGCAACTTGGAATGTCGTTACTGACAGCAACCTGCTGTAGGAACAGGTGTGTATTACTCGTAGAGGTGTCGTGACTTCATCCTATGAAAAGTTACAATACATCAATGCATGGGCAATATTGTGAGGACGTTCTCCCCCATAACCTCTTCATTCATTCCAGGTATCGGTGAACCAAGCCTCGCTGTTGGTCATACTTTAAATATTGACTTCGGTCGTCAAATATGCAGCTCCGGCACTAACTAAAATGAAAGCATACAGTGTCAAGTCTTCGAAGTAAGGCTACGGTACGATACAGTACGTGTTAGTAAATAGCTGCTTCTGTGGAAAGCAATAACGAACATACAGCACACCAGCTACGTTGCTGTGGTCTGGCATCTGTACAGTATCCACGAATTCGAGCAGCAAAACAGCTCGTGCTTCACCACCTGGAAAGGGGTAAAGCTGACGACGAACGCTGATTAGTATGGCAGTCGTGCGCGTCATCTCGTCTTGCGACTAGAGCGCATTACAACAGTGTAACATCATGTTGCATGAAGACAGCGCAATACCGACACTTCCACTGCCTCATTCTCCATTCATTCACGATGGCCCCAAGTCTCCTTTCAAGCGTTTCTGCTGTTGTTCTCGCCACTACTTTGGCGGCGGCTCCTGCTGCGGCTGCGGGCTCAAACAGTACCGCTGCGCACGCTCCGTTCGGAACCGTCACGTCCAAGCCTGGTGAGTGTGTCGTCGGCAACCCGAACACCTACATCAGCACGAAAGACCTCCAGTGGATCTGGGACAACCGCATGAAGGCAGATGTAACTGACCACGACAACTGGATCATCGATCACATCGTCAAGAACAAGGGCACGATCAACTACTGTGTCCGCTGGGACAGCAAGACCATCAAGCTCACCAAGGCTGACGCCGCCAAGTTCCAAGACATGCTGACCCGTCAATACGCTGCCTGGAACCACTGGTTCATTGGTTACAATTGCTGGCCGTACAACGAGATCAAGGTCAACATTGTCGGCTGGGCTACTAAGAAGGCATCCGACCTGGGGTGGTCAGACGATTCGTTGGACAAGGTCTACATCGGTGACCTCGACCAGGACGGAGCACCTCAGTGTCCCGAGAACTGCTACCGCGCAGCTGACGGATTTGGCGGCTGGTCGGAGTCTAGCGGACGTGATGGCAAGCCGTTCGACGTCTCATTCTGGTCAACGGAGGGTTTGGGCGGAGGCCTGGGTAATTACAACTTCCAGCAGGTGGGGATCGAAGAAATGATACCGCAGCTTGACGAGGAACAGCTCACGGTGACCGCGCACGAGATTGGCCACAGTTTCGGTCTGCCGGACTTTTACCAGGAGCCCAAGCCCGACAACTTCAAGCCCTGCCTCATCGACGCGCTCTCCATTGACTCGATCAAGGACACGGACGGGTGGATGGTTCGCCGCATTCTCGAAAACAAGAAACCCAAGTACGACTTTTAAGTGTCGGAGCGGTTTTGTGGAGTAGGAGGTACTTAGAGTTTTCGTGTGTTCATAAGTCAATTGGGTATCTTTTGGCAAAAGGCCAAAGATCCGGTTTTCTCAGCACGAGGAGAGAGTGCACGGCGAAGACAGGATCAGGCCCCCATCGCGCGACACGTGGAACCGCCAGCTGCAGCTGCACATAGGTTAGTTTAGAGTTAGCTCATTCTCCAATCTGCTCCGTCGAGCAACGACCCACCGCACCTCACCCTAGCAATGGTGCAAGCACCAGTGCAGTCGACCGATAATGAATGCAGCTACGTGTGACCCCTCTGCGATGACGAGATGTGAAGGAAAAGATGTGTTACCATGTCCACAAACGTGATCGAGTATGCGGAACAATGCTTTCGTTTGCATGGCGAGGAATTGTAAGTTTTCCGCATGAGACGGATTAGATCGACCCGTACTGCTGTAGAATTTTGTGGTACAGGTTGGTACTGTACTGGTTGGCCCCATGCATATCATTGCGTTCCTGGGCAGATATTTCTTACTTAAGTAAAAAATATTCCTCGTTTTCGTGCCACGAAGTGCGGTTCGATGTAGAGATACGTACATGTAAGGGGGGTCGAAGCCTTTACCCGTCGACGATTCGCGAGTGCAGCAAGCAGTAGATCTGTGCGAGATACACGATCAATTAATGTGTCTTCGAAACGATAACCCTTGCACATGTATAACGTGACTTGTATTGCACTACAAGTTGTATTACATGTATAGTGGTAGGGACCTTCAAAGGCGAAGCAGTGAGTCAGCGATGTGGCGTCAAAGTGTCTGACATCATGAGCTGAAAGCTATCAAGTTGTCGAAGTACTGTAAGTAGACGTGCTACGCTGTATTGATACAAAGTAGTATAGTACAGTACAGTAGCTTGCATTCCAGAATAACTACAGTACAAAGTAAGCACTTCATGTACATGGCTATTATCATCACGTGGCAATGCCATTCTGCTGATCTACCCATCTGCATTCACGAAGCGCGACAGCTCTGCTCGAACAGCAAAGGTGCCCCCAGCACCACGAGTACCATCACCACCTGGTAAAAAAGTAAGTTACAAAAATGTTTAGTATCGTTTTCGTGAGCGTCAACTATCGCCTTTGCGACTTAAATACCTGTACAATCATGTTACTGTACTTACCTACTGTAAGCGCACAGGCAACACCCTGGCCACGGAATCCCGTCTACCAGCGTGACCTCATTCTCCATTTATCCACGATGCCCCCAAGTCTCCTTTCAAGCGTCGCTGCTGTTGCTTTCGCCACTGCCCTGGTGGCGGCTCCCACTGCTGCTGCCGGCAAAAACAGCACCGCTGCCCACGCTCCGTTCGGAACCATCAAGTCCAAGCCTGGTGAGTGCGTCGTCGGCGACCCGAACACCTACATCAGCCCCAAGGACCTCCAGTGGATTTGGGACAACCGCATGAAGTCGGACGTGGAGTCCTTGGACAACTGGGCCATGGACCACATCGTGGCCAACAAGGGCACGCTCAACTATTGCGTCCGTTGGGACAGCCAGACCATCTCGCTCACCAAGGAGAACGCGAAGAAAATCGAGACGATGCTGAACCGTCAGTACGCCGCGTGGAACCACTGGCTCATCGGCTACGACTGCTGGCCGTACGACGAGATCAAGGTCAACATCGTTGGCTGGGCTGGTCGCAAAGCGTCCGACTTCGAGTGGTCGGACGACTCGCTGGGCAAGATCTACATCGGCGACCTCGACCAAAACGGAGTCCCGCAGTGCCCGCAGAACTGCTACCGCACGCCGGACGGGTCTGGTGGCTGGTCAGAGTCCAGCGGCTGTGAAGGCGAGCCGTTCGACATCTCGGTGTGGCCCACGGAGGGTATGACGAGTGGGCTGGGCAAATACGACTTCCAGCAGTACGGCCTCGAAATTGTGCTGGAGCACATGGAGGAAGAGCAGTTTTACTTCGCCATCCACGAAACCGGCCACAGCTTCGGACTGCCAAACTTCTACGAGATGCCCCAGCCGCCCAACTTCAAGCCCTGCGTCATGTGGGCGCTGTCGTCGATGACGATGAAGGACACGGACGGCTGGATGATTCGCCGCGTGCTCGAGAACAAGAAGCACAAGTACGACTTCTAAGCGTCTTCGGGGGATCTGGATCGTGCGAGAAAGAAGCACGTAGCTAGAGTTGCTGTTGTAGTTCACAAATCAATTGATGTTTTCTTCAGTCCAGGAATGTGTGATTCGTTGCCGCTAATGTTCACTCACAAATATTTTTTTCTTACCACCCGTTATCCACAAGAATTCAAGCATTGGACTTCCATCATATTGTGTGCTTCTACGACACTTCCTCCATCGTGAACTCAAACGACGATCCTGCAATGTTGCGGGTCTGCGACTCGAAAGCGCGGTTCATGGCCAGTTCAAAGTGCGCGTGCTTGATGCTTGTGTCTCCATGGCGCACGGCGAGCAACGCCGCTTCATTCACAAGACTTGCTAGCTGAGCCCCCGAACGCTGGCCCAACTGGCCGCACTCCTCCGCAATGACTGACAGGTCGACCTCGCTGTCCAAGCGCACATTGCGGCAGTGAACCTCCAGAATCGCCTCTCTTCCCTTGGCATCTGGTAGACCCACATACACATGACGGTCAAAGCGACCGGGGCGACACAATGCCGGATCAAGCACCTCCGGGCGGTTCGTAGCGGCAATGACGATAACTCCATTGACGTTTCCCTCAAAGCCATCCATCTCTGTCAGCAACTGGTTCAGCGTCTGCTCCCGTTCATCGTTGGAGTTGAATCCACCGCGAGCTTTAGCCAACGCATCGATTTCGTCAATAAAGATGATACACTGCGGGTACTGCGAGGCCTGCGTGAAGAGGTCCCGCACTCTCGCAGCGCCTCGACCCACCAGCATCTCGACGAAATCCGACGCTGAGCAGAACAAGAAGGCCACCCCCGCTTCAGATGCAACAGCTCTAGCCAGCAGCGTCTTGCCGGTGCCCGATGGACCGCAGAGCATCACTCCTTTGGGCACTTTGGCGCCAATGGCCTGGTACCTGGCCGGGTGTCTCAAGAAGTCCACAACCTCCTCCAGCTCCTTCCTGGCGCCGTCAATACCCGCCACATCGTCGAAGGAGATCCGCATCACCTGCTGCTGCTTGCGCACCTTCTTGGTGCCGTCCTTGCCTACACCTCCAGCGTCCGTGCCGTATATGCCCCGCAGCATTTTGTAGGTCAGGCCCAGGTACAGAAATGGCATCAGCGCTATAGCAATTGGCACCAATCTGCTGGTCGTCGACGGCGTCACGGAGCCAAACTCAACCCCCGACCGCACTAGAGCGTCCAGGATGTACGTGTTCTCGGTCCTCGGCGGCACCAGCACCCTACAGGTCACATGATACACCAAAGAATGTTATAATTTATACCATGGAATGTCTAAACTAATATCCACCATATCTCCTGTGCTACGGCTCATACAGCCGCCAAACCACCGTGGATCAACGCGCCTTCACTTACTTGTATGTATCCGCTCCATCCTTAGCTTGTACGATGCAGTGATCACCCGCCAGCAGCACTTTCCCGACGCGGTGGTCCCTCAAGTCGCCCAGGAAGGCGCTGAACAGCCTCCAAGACGGCGTCGCGGGCGCCCCAGCGGCGGTGAGGGCGCGGAATTTGGCCAGCGCAGAGGTGACGAACAGGCGCAGCTTCTGGGCGCCTCTGCCCATCAGCAGCAGCACGCACAGCGCCGTCACGAACCGCCGAGCGCTCGGCACCCGCATCTTCGAGGTTAATGTGGACTGTTGACTCAACCGACACCGCCTACCCCCAAGTTGCAACATGACCTTAAAGTAGCAACAAACACTTCAACAAGTTCCTCACATGTCAATTCACTATAAGGTTGCCAAAAAACTAAAAAAAATTCTTTGCTGTTGGGGACGTTAAGGCGAATTACTAGTGATAACGAACATCAATTTAGGTGTTTTTTATCAGCGACAAGCGACGGAAACTCTAGTGTTTTGTGTCCTGGGTCGACACTCAGAAGTCGTACTTGGACTTCTTGTTCTCGAGCACGAGGCGCAGCATCCAGCCGTCCGTGTCGCGGACGGTGGACGAGGTGAAGGCGTCTATGAGGGTGGGCGGGAAGTTGTCGGGTTTGGGCTCCTCGTAAAAGTCCGGCAGTCCGAAGCCGTGGTCCATCTCGTGCGACACGATCTCGAGCTCCTTGTCGTCGAGGTGCGCAAGCATGTCGTCGAGGTCCACCTGCTGGAAATTGTACGTTCCCAAGCCGCCACCATAATCCTGCGTAGGCCACAGCGAGACGTCGAACGCTTCTCATCGCAGCCGCTAGGCTCCGGCGAGCCACCAAATCCTTCCGCGGAACGGTAACAATTCTTTGGTCACTGGGGAGATCCGTCCTTGTCGAGGTCGCCGATGTAGATCTTGCCGAGCGACTCGTCCGACCACTCCAGGTCCGAGGCCTCTCTCGCAGCCCAGCCGACAATGTTGACCTTGATCTGGTTGTACGGCCAGCAGTTGTAGCCAATGAGCCAGCGGTTCCACGCGGCGTGTTGACAAGCCAACATTGGCTGGAGCTTAGCCGCGATCTCCCTGGTAAGCTTGGTGGTCTTGCTGTCTCAGCGGACGCAGTAGTTGACGGTGCCCTTGTTGGCCACGATGTGGTCCATGATCCAGTTGTCGTAGGGGTCCACCTCCGCCTTCATGCGGTTGTCCCAAACCCGGTGTTTGGGTTGCCGATGACACACTCGCCAGGCTTGGACGTGATGGTTCCGAACGGAGCGTGGGAGGCGCTGCTGTTTGTGCCAGCAGCAGAAGCAGGAGCTGCCACCAAAGCGGTGGTGAGGGCAACAGCAGAGACTCCTGTTACGACAGTAGTGTAGTGGAGGAATTTCCACAGCTCAGTACATATGTACTGAGTTGTCCGAATAGACAAACTAATTACTTGACTTGTTGTGCGGGTCAGTACAATATTTAACGAATGCCGCGTAAGTTCGCCTGTACAGCGAATCAGTGCATCACTAAGTGCGTATATTTTCAAATAGGCAGTTTTGTAACCAACATGGCCGTTTGGCCGATCCCATCTTGCGCAGCATCGCATATACCACATATAGCAGTTTATGAGATGGGTGAATTTACGGTTTGGCGGTGGGGGAGATATAACGGCTGAATTTTATAATAACAAATTCACGGCTCGTTCAATTTCAAATTTTCATGTAAAAGTGAAAAACTGCTACCATACAGATTGCCATACATATTTTGCTGAACGTATACCAATACTAACATTATATGGAAACCCAAGACAATTGCAAAATAATTTTTCACTAAGATACTGTTATATTTCAAATAGGTGAATTATTCTCGGTTAGTAGACACGTGAAACCACCCAACGGATAGTTACATGAAAATTTCCACGGGCTAGTCGAGTATCTCTCTTCTTGCGGCCTAATTTTCGAAATGGCGGCGCCGGCAGCATATCCATCCAGCAAGTTTGGCAAGGCGCGTTTCCAGGTCGACGACTCCGACCTCCATGCCGCACGGGAGCTAGGATTGCTACGTGAAGACGTCCATGTTCACTGTGAAGATTTGGCACGTCCAGATTTCGGGTTCGCGTACGACCGCCAAGACAACATCGCAACGGAAGCGTTTTCGACACAGAAGGCCCTCCGATCCACGTGCAAAGAGTTCGCCATCAAATGCGGGTTTCATCTTATAGTGAAGCAAAGCAGTGTGAAGCCAAACAACTCGGGGAACGCCAAGTACCAGTGTAAAAACCTGAACGGTGTCCAGGTTTTCGACAGCGAGACTCCGGTGGACAAGCTGCAGTGTCCGTTTTTCATCAATGTCTTCGGGCTGGACAGGAAATGGAAAATTACGCGGGCTAACTTTGCCCACAACCACGCCAAACACGTTGGCTTCACTCAAGCACCGTGTGTCGAAGGCTCGATTGCGCGCCCGGCTAGGGCTTAGCGTAACACGACCCAAGAAATTGAGCGGTTGACTCTCCTTGTGATGAAAGAGATGTTACCAGCTCACAACCGATCCATCGACACGCTCACGGGCAAGGCTATCAAGAATTTCCTCATATCAAGGGGATTTCACCTGGCTAAAAGCGCAATTTCCAGAATTCGGCTGGATATTGACGATAGGCTCCACGGTGACCTCGTTGAAAGTTACCAGAAGTTGGGATCCTACCTGGAGCTGGTTTTCGACCAAAACCCCGGATCAGTTTGGCGTCTCGATCGCGCTAAGGACGACGTGACATTTGAGCGTGCCGTGTTTATCCCAAATGTTGGGATTCACATCCTCCCAATGGCCGGGTTTCGACGCTGCTCATCTCTAGGGGGAGATGAACAAGCGGAGCGTTTTTCTGGTCGCCACGACAAAAGACTACAACAATCACGTGATCCCTTTCGCGTTCGCCTTGGTCCCGACTGAGAACTACGAGCACTGGTACTGGTTCATGGATTGTGTCAAGTTTGCTACGAAGATCGACCGCTTCACAGCTTTATCCGACCGCCAAAAAGGGCTCCTCGCAGCTGTCGCCGCGGTGTTTCCGTAGGCTGGACATCGTTTTTGCCTTCGGCACCTGATGGACAACGCGCATTGCACTGGGGCGAAGCTAACAAACGAAGACAGGCGCCTAACCTGTCAACTTGCTCGTAGCGACTGTGAAAATGACTACAAGCTCTTCTTCACCGAACTGGCAGCGTCAAACCCCAAGGCGGCGGAGTACATGGACAACGTCGATCACAAACACTGGGTCAAGTACAAGTTCCGTGAAGCCTTCGGCCTCCCGACTTTCAACGAGATTACGTCCAACTTGTCTGAGCAAGCCAACAACTGGTTGGGCACTGAGCTGCGCAGCGCCAAGCCACTCGACGCGTTCAACATGTACTTCATGAAGCTAAGCGAGCTCACTTCTGACAAGAGGCAAATGGCGGCGAACTGGGCGGCATCCAAAGCGGGGACAGAGTTGGATCCAATCCTGCAGAAACAACTGAAGGACAGGACTACGGCAGCCAACATGTGCGCGAAGATTCCTCTGATGAAGGGCGCTTATTCGGTGCAGCATCTGGCCCACGCACGCGCCAAAGTCACATCCACACATGGCGACTCGTGAATTTGCCTGAATCGGAGTGTACATGTGGCGGATGGCAAGATGAAGCTTTTCCGTGCATCCACGCAATTTGCGCGGCCATCTAAGACGGTAAGCGGGTCAATGATCTCTACGACGCCAAACGCATGTCCATTGAACATTTTCGAGAGACGTACACGTTCGCATTCCGTCCATGGCCACGGATGTGACGCTCAATGTAGGCTCGACCTTGCGCATCCCCGAGCTCCTAGCTGAACCAGCACGCATCGGCAAGCGCGGATTTAAACCAGGACCCAAGCCCAAGCACAAGCGCAAACAGGCCAAGAACGCGCTTTAACGTTGATATTTCATGCTCAATTTCACTTAACAGTGGCATTTTCATATAATTGCACATAATATACTGGTCTTTTGCTTTCTATTTTCGATTGTAGTAGTATTTACTAAGTAAATCAAAGCCGATAAGTTTCTAGCCATGTATTCCGTCGTTTCTTTGCTGAAAGGAAATCCACAAATTCTGGATAATGCAAAAGTAGCATATTTAACGTATAATACCGATTAGATACCTACGCAGAACCTCCTAACATAAACTATGTATAATATTGATATTTATGAAGAAAAAAACATACTGAAGAAGGTATGCCCCACGAATATGCGGTAACAGACCGTCCACCGAGTTTCCCAAATGTTAGACTCTATTTCTTGCTGCGCAATAATCTAAATGGTAGTTATTACGTTCGGATTTACACGTACCAAGATAGCGGAAGTAAAGTGACTTTGAACGAATCCCTGAGCTCACCAAGTGGCTTCAATTCCTGAACGCGCGAAATCGTACTACTGTAGTTGTCTGATGATGTATGTGTGCAAAACTAATACTAAAGGTGTGAAAAAAAATCTGACGCCAAGCATCGCATCAACTACAATTGGTCCCGATTTTTATCAAGGTGGCTCGATTTTCTTTCGACAACCGAGCGTTCTAGGCCAACACGACAAATGTTCAGCAAGCAGGGAAATTTCAACAAACAGCGTAAATC